TGTTATGTACTCACACTGGTCAAGATTATGTTATGTACTCACACTGGTCAAGATATTGTCATGTACTCACACTGATCAAGACTATATTGTCATGTACTCACACTGGTCAAGATTTTGTTATGTACTCACACTGGTCAAGATTATGTTATGTACTCACACTGATCAAGACTAAGTTGTTATGTACTCACACTGGTCAAGACTATATTGTTATTATTCTGAGAGGCCAGGCAGCAGTATGAACTCCCTTCAGTGTGGATGTCACTCAAATCCATAACATCTATCTTCATTTTGTTCTGCAATTGCTGAGCAGCTGCAATGTCTCTCTGTTTGATTACTAAAACAGGGTTTTAAAACACCACATGAAAAATCTTTTCTTTGCAAAAAATAATGTTGATCATTCTCTTTTATACACTTACAGTTCAATTTTTACATGGACATGCCTTTAAAAAATATGTAAACCTATTTAAAAAGTAAATATCCTATCAAAAATAATTTTTATAAATTTAGTCAGTAAACCATACCTCTGTCAAGTTCTGTGAGGTGAACATGCTTGATGTGATACAACATTTGATCACTGGTGAGAATAAACAGTTCACAATTTCCTGAAGAAAGAAGTTCAAAATAGAATATCCAACAGGATGAGCAAAAATGTAATTTTAATTTTCACTACTGACAATCCCTGTATATCAGCATTTAACTTCTTTCAACTAATCTTAAAATAATAAACCTACAGCACATATTTCAAATTTCTCCTACTTGACCTGAATTATAGTAACCAGTTATTACTGACTTTTAGTTAAAATAATATGCAAAATGTCTCTTGGAAAATTACTAAAAAGTTTATTCTATGCTTAATGAAATGTGCAATCTGGAGTATATTTCTCACATTAAAATAGTTCAGGTCTATCATATCACAATAATAATAAGTATAATGCACCAGTTCATTGCTTTGAAAGTAAAAAAAAGAAGCTCAAAATCACCTTCTGTTGTACTTGGAGTAAACATCATGTATTGAAATACAGCATCTTGGTCAGATTCCCTTTTTGTTCCAACTTTCTGCAAAGAGAATGAAAAGAAATGGTAACTTTTTTTTAGCATGCAAGATCTTTTCATCAAACAAATGGCTTTCTTCAAGCACCATATATATTAGATATATATCCAAGAAAGAAAGATTTTGGTCCTCGTAACCTACCTTTGAAAACACAATCTGTTGTGATTCCATATGCATAATGTGGAAGTTTCCAGACCTCTCTCCAATAACAATAAAAAGTGAATCTTCACTCCAGGACACTGCATCTACACAAGAATCTGAAATAAGATATCATAACTTCCTATTATGTAGCAATATTTTATTCAAACAATAGCACCCCCTGTGTGAAATCATAATTTGCCATCATCACCTTTTATATCATGCCTAAAACATCATCTGGAAAGTTTTCTTTTCTCACAAATAATAATGGGGATATTATTAAAAAAACTAGACAAACTTGAAAGTAAAGACTGTCAAAGCCCTTGCCTGTGCCAAAATATACGTATTACCACCGGTTTATTGAAAAATGCTTAATCTGCATCTTACTACTGAATAATGAAAACTTATAAACCTAACATGTGGACATTTACAAGAAAACTACAATTGCTTGACTTATTTTGAACCAAAATTTCTATGAATAAAAAACCCAATCAATTATGTTCATAAATTCAATTTTAATCTAAAAAATTTTTTTTAATTCTTACCAAAAGCAGTTGTAACATGGAACTTGTGCGCAGTTTCGTCAAAGAAGGAAACATAGCAGTCAGCTGCAAGGCAGAAACCTTCAGCTGAGGAAGCAGCAATGACTTGTGGGTTACTTGTCACCTAAAATTATATACTTAATGTTTATAAAACACTTTGAGTAAATACATGGCGACTTCAGGGCTTAGAGCTATGAAGAATTACTATGTGCAAAGGAGTGAGGCATAGGACAATACAGTTTTTAATCATATGCATACAACCACCTTGGTAAAGGTTTGGCAAAAAATTGTTTTCTGCATAAAATTCTCATCTTTCTCTTCCATGTACAGCAAAAAAACTTAACAACTTTAATTCTTTAAAAACCAAGGAAGCCAAACTATGTGATAGAGATCTTCAAAACTGCACTGCAAAATGGATTTCATTGGTCCGGAAGGCAGCATGTGGCTTTAACAAAATGACAGTCTGCCAGTTAGATAGTTCTTATTATTAGCATTTTCTGTTGTCATTTGAAGTAGAAATTAAGAAGATCATTAAAGTTTAAGCTTTTTCAAAACTGCTCACCTCTTCTGTAGCTGATACTGTAGCTACAGTATCCACTTGGTACAGAGATGCCTGTGTTTCTTGTCGAGGCCCAAAGTTCCCTGTCTCATCTCCTCCAAAATCAACATCAATTTGATCCCAAGAAGCCATAATAATTTTCTTGGTGATAATCTATACCTGAAAATTTAGTTTCTTTTTTAATGATGGGAATAATAAAACAATAATAAAACAATAGCAATAATCAGTGTTAGAAATTAAGGCTGGATCGTCTGCCCGGGGCTGACAACTTTCAGAAGGGGCTGAGAAGTTTTCCCACCCAGCAGACATTCAGTCCAGCTACTTTTCATGATGGCTGGACTTTCGGTCCAGCTATTTATTTTCCTAAGACTCGTAAGAGGCAAACACTGGCAATAATGATAAATCATTTTTTGATATTCATGCTGGTATGTAAATACCTTATTCTATCATCGATACAGAATGTGACCCAGAAAACTCTTGTGACAATGTAAAGTATGAAGGAGTAAAATGTACACATTATACCAGTAGATAGTCGGAAAGCTGGTCTTGACAGCGACAGTGACTGCCCATAATATAAGGAAATCCACTGCCGCCAAATGAACCAGGCTGTGTGTTGTAACTTGCTAATCTTTGGTTATATATCCTAGACTGTTAAGCAGCCTTTCTTTTAACTACCTATCACCAGATGACTTACTATTGCTCTTGCGATCGTTGCAGTTCTATAAAATATATTAATCCCTTTACAATATTTGATTTCGTTTCGTCCGCCAATATAGGATCTCGTCGCTGTCGTTAATATACGAGATTAGAATAGGTACTAATACACGAGGACCGTTAAACATATTCAATATTGAAATATTCATTATTTCAACAACTACAAACATTCAAAACAGTTTCAGTGATTGTGTTTAAATGGAATTAAATAGATTTTAGTGTTTTAATGCCATATTTTATATTTAATTAGAATCAAATATGAAATTTTTAAGCCTTATACTCGCAGTCATACGGCAACAGATATTGTTTACAAATATGGTGGACAAAATGAAATTCCGGAATGATTGACGGTTATTTGGTGTTTGATTAAGAAAATAATGAAGCTTTGATGAAGTTATGAAGTCATCATGCCATTATTTGGAAAGAAGGGACCTCTAGCTGCAGTGCAGCAAGAAGGTGACTCGTTAAAGAAGAAGGTAATTAAAATATTGTGATAAAACTACTTCGCTACATGCAAATTGCAAGACAATGTCAAGTCAGCGGGTAAATTGTGAAACACCTAAACAGCTGCATTTCTGAGATACAGTGTCTGAAGACAAATACATTTTGTAAGAAAAGTATGGTTATCAGTTCTCCGATGCTGGCCAATTTGATGCTTCTTACACTCTCAACATCGAAGTGTTCCAATTCCCTGGAGATACCTGTTAGCTGAAAATCCCTTACAGACTTGCATACAATTCCAGTTTAAAACTAGCTCGAGGCCAGAGTCACTACTCTTTTATAAAACACAAAGAATTTGTTACTTCCTGTAAAGTGCTCAAAGAAGTACATATTGTCCAATTAGAATCTTTTGTGAACACACCAGTTACTGGTACAGTACACTACTGGTAGCATGAACTTTCTAAGATATATTTTCATTATTCTAATTTAAAGAGCTAGTGGAGAATAGAGGCAGCTTATTAGGGTTAATTGTTGTTTTTTTTAAAGTACATCATATGAGTATGCTCCAAAATATGATTTATATTATGATGCAATGAATATGATGAAAAATTTTCATGGGTAAGACTAGTTAATCTTTTTTTTCTCTTTTGTTAATTTTCAGATTGATGGGTTAATAAAAGAGTGTACGGCTAGTTTAGAAGATTCAACAATACCAGATAGGCCAAAAAAGTTAAAAAGTTTGCATAAGAGATGTATAGAAACAAAAGAAGGGGTTGAAGCCTTGCTTAAAAGAGCAGATGATCTCAAAAAGGTATGTTTCTGAAAAAGAAATATTGAAAACTTTTCTCTCTTTTATGTAATGAAAGAATTGTACATGTTCTCTAATCAAACTGAAATCTTTCAAGGCCCCAGAAAAGTACTAAAAGCAAGTTGTATTTATCAGCACATCCAATTTTATCTGCTGAAACATGCATATTAGATTATATTCAGAAGGATAATCTTATTTTAAAGATTTGATATCCCAACAATACTACAGAGTATATGTAAAACGAGAAAAGTTGTACTTCATTTTTTGCTAATCAGCATGCATTTAGAGTATGTACATATACTTTTTTACAGGAAGGTGATCCAAAGGTTAATGACTTTGAAACTAAAAAAGAAGCTGAGTTGTCTAGACTTAAGGAATGGAAGGTAAGGATATGGATTTTAAATTGAGAAAAAAAGAGCCATTTATGGACAAAAACCATTTTAAATTCATGAATGTAGTAAGTCATTTTACCTGATCTAAGTAACAATTCAAAAATGTCATATGCAGGACAAACTTGAAGGCATGGTATCAAAGCTAGAACCAGATGAAGTAGAAGAGGACTACCTCCACAAGATGAAGAAGGGAGAAATAACAGAGACTGATGATCAGGGGGAGGAAGATGAACAGGAAGAAGAAGCAGTAGAAGAAGAGGAAGAGGGTAAATGTTGTTTCTAAGCTCACACTAATATATAAACATATTTTCTCATTGGTAAAAAATTCAATACCTACTAGTGAATATTTGTGGTTAATGTTATCTGTTATGTTTTTCTCTTTCATTGATTGATTATTTATAAAAAATGACAGTCACTAACTCACTAAAGAAATAAAAATTATATCTTGAATAAATTGTAGAAGATGAAGAAGGGGAAGAGGAGGAAATTGAAGAGGATGAAGAGGATGTCGAAGAAGAGGAAGAGGATGAAGAAGAGGAAATAGGAGAAGAGGATGATGAAGATGAAGAAGATGATGAAGATGATGAGGATGAAGAAGAAGATGAGGAGGAGGAAGAACAGGAGGAAGATGCAGAAAGTGAAGCATCCACACCAAGGGTATGTTTAATGTAGGATTCATTAGATATCAATTAAATGTCAATTTCTGTAAATACAATAAACCTACAAGGCAAATTACAATTTTTTTCCTGTATTTATACTATAACTAATATAATCACATATTATGTGATGCAAAATTAACAGTATTGTGTTTCAAAATAGTGATTGACTTGCAGACTTCCTACTTGTTTTGGCCTATTTTCACAAATAGACTGTTCCAAACATTTTTTATACCTTACCTTTACTGAAAAGTTAGAAAACTATTATTATCTCCTTTTTCCCTACTATAGATAGTTCAATACGAAGCACTGTGTGATTTTGAAGGGGAACAAGAAGAAGACCTTAGCTTTAAACATGGAGATATCCTCACTCTTATATTAATCAGGTAAGAACAAGGAGAGCCAGAGTGTGAGTTTACTGCAAGATAGTAGTCTCTTATTTAATTACATTTACACATTTTTATAAATGACTTATACCATTTGTTTTTGAACCCAAAGAAAATGTAATTAGTGATTTAATGAAAGTTTTTTTTTACTGAAGAATTATGACATTTTTCTCTTTTAGGATGCTTCTACATTTAATAGCTTGACATATAAATTTGATTGCCTGAGATATAGATTTGATAGCTTGACATATTGATTTAATAGCTTGAGATATAGATTTGATAGCTCAAGATATTCTTTTTGTGTAACAGAGAAGATGGCTGGTGGGAATGTGAAGACTCCGAGGGGAACAAGGGTCTTGTGCCAAGTACATATCTCAAGGTAAAAGAAATGAGCTATTTTCAGTTTCATAATTTCTCAATTACTGATTCTCTGCCTCTGTGAGATATACTTTTTCTTTTTAAGTATTATTTAAGAAAAATATTCCTTTTTTTTTTTGGTACCATATAACCAAAGATTTCTTTTTGTTTATTTTTTATTTGAAGATAAATGTTTGCACTATTTAGATATTCAAAAATTCTGCTAAAGACAAGCCATTGGATACACTCATCACTTTCTGACCTTTTAATTGTTTGCAGTATGATCAAAGCTTATCTGTAGCATGATTTGTTTAAATTATTTTAACTTTGTTATTTTAAAGTTTCTAGTTATGGTATAAAGCTTATCTCAAAAATGTTTTCAGGAACACAGTAGATACAAGGCCATACAGTCACAGGATGGTAATGGCTTACACTATTTTCACTTTTATAAATTCTAGATTATATTTTTGTAACATTGTTTCTAACTGCCCTTTTATTGTGGTGTTATTAATTAATGATGCTATTTATTTGTAGTAACCAATTCGTAATTTGTAGTAACCAATCTGGTCATTTTTAAATTTCCTTTAATTTATATAAAAGGATGTGGTCTAAGAACTTGAAGATGTTTTTGAATCAGTTTAAAAATATGTTTATTTTTGTATTTGTTACCAGTGGAGGAGGAAAATGAAGATGATGAAAAAGAAGACACTAAAACCCCAAGAAGGTAAAAATGAAATGAAGTGTTGAATACAAAAAAAAAAGTAATAAAATAAAAATAACAAAATGAACATAGACATGGTATTTTTGTACTGTGGTAATTGTTTATCAGAATACAAGTATATTGAATATTAAAATAAAATGCTTATCATGTGGGTAAAATAAATCATTAAGTTTGGTTTTTAGATTCTTTATAAATAACACATTTTTCTAAATATTTCATTCCTTTTTTCAGTGGCAAAAAGTTGTGGAGCAGCATAAAAAAGAGTCTTAAAGAGGTAAAAAAAAAAAAAGCCTCCATGCTAGTCTTGACTGTCTTGCACAATTTAAAAACAAAATTTGTAAAATCACACTATTTATTGCATTGATTTAAGATATAGTTGTACCTAAAATGGTTAAGTAGTTTTAAATAGGCAAGAGAAGATCTAGCAATCAGGACAAAAATTATGCTTTTTAGATCTACAGCAGTAAACTCAATGCAGAAATAAAACATCTAATTTTTGTAACAATAATGTGTTTTACGCAAATTCAGATAATCTTTTGTGAAACTAAGTATTCATTCTGAATATGTGTAAAAAAATCTGATTTTGGAATATGACAAACCTGTATCTTGAATAATGGTGCACATTTCATTACTACAGACTAGTGCCACTGATGTATTGCATGCTATGGGTGCTGTGCCATCAGGATTCAGGCTTCCTACACTGGGAAAACTCTATGCTGATGGTATGTTAATATTTGCAACTCTTCAGGGGTTAAATCTGCTGCTCATTTTTGAAATTAAGCCTTTTGATAATAGTTCAGTTCTACAATTAAGAACATGTTTTGCATTCTTATATTCTAATATATTTTATATTTTTATTAAATATTATATTATCACATATTCTTATGGCCCAGGGCACAATAACCAAGAACATTATTTTATTGTAGGGGATGAATACACCATGAAGAACTATCTCATTCCAAAGCTGAGTACTTCTAATCTGTCATTCAGGGACCTGTTTTTCAACCCAGTGACCAATAAGGTGAGTGCTGTTTATGTAATTTAAAACTGGATCAAAACTTTGTTATTGTTTAAGCCATGAATTTAAAATGTTTTGACTTAATATTAAGACATAAGGTTATGTAAGTGATGTTTCTCAGACACTCCTGATATATACTGGACACTACACATACAAAACTTTGAAATGTTTTAGATCAGACCCCGTCCTGTTCGCTTCCAAAAGATTGTCACACTCCAGGCAGCTAGACAAATTCCACATGCAGGAACAGGTGAGTGGTACTTTTTTTATTAAAATGTTGTGTACTGAATTCACATAGTGTTTTTGCTAAATACCAACACCAAATCAGAGTTGTATTGTAAGTTTCCTCAAAGCTATGAAAAAAGTTTACACTGTATGACACAAAATCTTTGACATTAACACTGTCTCTGCAGAAACAAAATTGGGTCTTTATCTATTTTGTAAATTTGCTCAGTTACTGCACACTAGATTTTGTTTAGGTCAGAAGATTTTTAAACTCTGTCTGAAGGGCTGGTAGACCCAAAACTTCTAAAGCATTTGGCACAGACTGCACATTTATTTTCTGTAAACTCTCTTTCATTCTAGGTATAGAAGTAATTAACTACTGTGTGAGAATGTGTCTCTTTGATGGGGCAAAGGTGAGTTTGGGTCAGAAGATGGAAATAAAGTTAAACTGACAATTCCTCCATGGGCAATTAGTCAAGCATGGAATGACATTTTTTTTCTTGTATACTGGTATTAATTCAGAAAAATTTGAAGATTTTTGCCGTTGTTCAAGATGCAGTGATTTCAACAATGAAGTGATTTGGTATTTTGTGGTGGTACTATATTTGTTGCGCATGAATATAACACAGGAATATAGTGTGTTGTGGCACCATATTTTAGTTCCCTTTAACTGCCTTTTCCTTGCCCACAAAAACAAAGACATATACATGATGTAAATGTGTAGGTTAGCATTTATGAAACGTATTTCTTTAATCCTTTGAATTTGTATAAATATTTAACTTTTCTGGCCTCCTTTTTACAGGTGCTTAGCAACATAGTGACAGTGAGGTCATTTTGTACAGACAAAGAACTGAAAAACTGGTCTTTTCATACAAAGGTGAGATTTTAAATTTTTTGGTTTTTGGTTTTTGTGCACTGTTTGCAATTTTAATTAAAATTACTTTTAAATGCTTTATACTTTACCAGCATGTTAAGATGTTGGAACCTTGAATTACAGTAACTGAGTTTTTCTTTTCAGTTGACTGACAACCTACCTTGTGTTGACTATGCAGAGATATTTGTCCGTGACAACAAAGGAGACAAAGATATAGGTGACTATGTTCATATGAAGATACAGATGAACATGTTATTTCTTCCATCTTTTATTTTTTGAGAAAATGATAAGATATGCTAAATTATAAAAACAAATATAAAAATATCATTTTGTTCATATGGTTTTATATTTGATATTTAAGATAAATAAATCTACTTTCCAGGTGTACTGTTTGAGTTATGTTTAGGATATAAAAGAGTGGTGAGTTAGTCTTTTTCTCTCTCTGCTTCTTTCTCTCTCTCTCTCTCTCTGCCATTCTCCTAAATTGCCATTGCACTTTGCATAAGTCAGTATAATTTATTTGAAGAAAAAAATTAATTATCAAATATTTTTTATATTCTTTTCTTATGGCATACTAATTTCAGCCATTTGGTCACAATTTTACAAGCAAGCCTGTAAGCAAAGATAATTTGTATTCTCTTTTCTATCAACACTTTCTATCAGTGTGCGGGGGTGTGTATGCTTGCATGTGTGTGTGAAATCGTTTGAATATGAGTAGTATTTATGATATAAAGTGAATATTTTACTTATGTGTAACATATAAACATAATGGATTTGAAAATTACTTATAGAAAACTGGTGAACTGGGAGAGTTTAGCTGTGGCTGGGCCCATCTGCCTCTGTTTGCTGAAGATGGTACCCCAGCTCTTAATAAGTATGTGACATAACCAGCTTTTGTCAGCTCTAACATAATTGACTAAAAGACAATATTACTCATTAAGTGTATTATTGCTGTCTGTAAACATTATTTTGATTCTATTGGCAATAGCATTGGCAATAAAATATCTCATATTTTTAACTCTTGTACATTTAAATACATAACAACAAGAAATAATAAATATGGAAATATCTTAGTTTTATTTTACATTATGGTCCCGTTCAGATTTCAATTCTTGTGTTCTTTGTTTTAGAACATATGACTTATATGTAAATGGAGGTACACCATATGAAAAAGGCATTGAAGTAGACCCCTCAGTAAGCAGAAGAGGTAAATGTTTGTTACAATTTATCAGATATGTCATGTGTTCGAAATGTATATTGTGATTTCTTTTGAATATAGGGTCAAACACAGTTGATTTATTAAATCATCACTGAGTACCAGTGGCAGTTATTCATTTGTGACATTCGTTTTAGATTTACAGAGTAGAGGAAGATAATGTTGTAAAATTATTATATGACCATTTGGCTATAATTTTATATATATTTTCCAGAGAGTACCAATAAGTGGCGAGCCTTAGTGTCCAAAAACAGACAGCCCAGGCTGTCAGTCAAACTGTCAGCACCCACCAAGGAGCAGAAAGAACAACTAGAGTAAGATTTTTCTTTGTACTGTAAAAATGCTGATTAGTCTTATTTGCTATTTGTGTCAACAGAATTTAGATGCATGTATCAGTAGCAACCTTGCAAACTGGTGAATATTCCACTTTTATATCAGTAATGCGACACTGTTGATAAAACAAATCAGTTTTGCAGTTGGTGTTTTTACTTTATTTTCAGGAAAGAAATGTATATTGAGATATCTATTTTATATTTCTAAATCAAACAAATTTGGAAAACTGCCATCCAGGCTTAATGCCAGCTTTCCTCCCTATTTTAATTTGTATTGTTGAATATATATATTTCAGTACATTACCAGATGTGCTAGTTGGCAGTATGTGTCACCTAGGGTCCTTGTCCTACTACAGGCAATTCCTGGCAGATGCTTTACTTAGAGACAGATTAGATATGCAGTCTACAGGTACTTTTTTTCAAATTTTTTTATTTCATTTTCACATTGTCAGCTAAGAAATTTTCATAATTACCTAGTGTGACTTAAGGTTACTATTGACAGTGTCATTATATCAGCTTGCAGGTTTAATGCAAGTCCAGTTTATAAAATTTTATATTTTGCTCTGAATGGCGTGTGTTTACAGCATAAAATCCTGCAGGAGCATGCAATTACACACTTGTGTACTTAAAAGAAACTTGGTCTTTATACTAAATTTAAATTGTCATGTTGATATTATTGATTTGAGTGTTACAATTTTGTTCTACCTTTGTGAAATAAGTATGCAATTACATGATGAAAAAGCCATTAAACAATGATTAATTTACCATTCCCATTTAGAAGGGCTCTCATGTATTTCATACATCGAATGGTTTGGTCTTTTTTTCTACTTTTTTTGTATGAATACCAACTGCTTTGATGAATGAGTAATGCATCTCATTTTTCCAGATTTGGTCCACAGCCCATTCCTGATGTCATTTCCTTCTGTGATGGAGCAACCAGATATATTAGATGTATTTAGAGTAAGACAGTTTGGATAAATAATTATCAGTTTAATGTAGGAAATCCAATGAATTTCAAATTTTGGGAACTCACAAATTATCCACAATATTTCCATAACATTTCACATAATACCACTGTTTGCTTTTGCAACACTCCTGAGGTGATGAAGACACAGATCATAGTGTGTACCCTCACATACAGGTCCAAGTTTTTATTATCATTATGATACACGGTGACCTGCATTAAAAATCTTCCCAGGCCTTTGTAATATGGTTCTTTAATTAATTCAGGGACTTTTACTTCCTCTCAGTTGTGAAGGGTCGAATGGTAAAATTTTAGATTAGGGGATTGTTAATTCAGTTATCCCTCTTAATAAATTTGGAATCAGCTTGTTCAAAATAAGTGTTTATAATGTGACCTGATAATGTGAAGTGTTATAAATGTGACCTTGATGGTCATGTGCAGTGTTTACCTATATTGAAAAGCAGACATCTTTTTGAAATAGGCTGCAACAGTCTAAAGAGGGCCATTTTCCAAGTCACTAAAAATTATTAACTCTGTCATGTTACACTTTACAACAACAGTTTTTATATTGAATTCCTCATGAGTGCTTTGAAAACTTTTTAATCCAAACTCATAATTGCCAGACTCAGCCAGACACAATTTAAGTGGATAATATTTTAAAAAGAGTTTATTCATGTATGTGTATATGCTTGACAGTAGTTCATGTGCCACAGGGATGAGATATATCCTTGTTTTAAAATCAAATTCTACCTTGCGTGTAAGGAAAGTAATGATTTCTATATAATTTCCTGAATGGTTTTAACAATATTGTTCTACTTTCCATATTTCATTCAGGCTTCTTGGATTGAAAAATTAAAAATCACAAAGAGAGGAGACAAGGTATGTACTGGTATACCGGTATATTTTTCAGAAGATAGTGTTGTTTTAAAAAAAAAGACAACTCTTCAAGGTCAACGTGAAACAATTTCACAAAAAAAAAGTCTTCCTATTCCTAGTGAGCCAATAACAACCTTAGTAAATAATACACCACTGTAGCCAACTAATTGCTTACTAAATGTTTTACAGTTCTTAGTCTGTAGATGAAAGTAACACATAATTATGCCACTTATCATGGAGTGCTAACATGTAATTCTTTTGTTACAAAAGACATCAAATAATACTCTATATTACATACTTAAAGTTCACTGATAATTATTGCTTTGCTTTGTGTGATGAGCTGTTTTATTTATCAATAAGTTTTTAAATTTTTATTTTATAACAGCATGTATCTTGGTTGCTTATCTAGACACTAATATAAATATATAAATAAATGAAGATGCAATTTGAATCCATGTGTAAAGTATAACATGCACATTTTTTGCTTGCCACTTTACTTCAGAATTATACCTGGAGAATTACATCACCACATGTAGGAAGTAGCCCCTTGTGCTGTTGCTAATATTATATGTTAATTGCAATAGATGTAGCTGTAACATGTAGATATGGTTCTGTAACGAATGTTTTAGTAATGGAAAACTGCATTGGGTATTGTTTAGAAATACAGTATAAACATTATGCTGTAATTTTCTTATTTTTTGTTCAGGTTTTTATGTTGAATTATGTTCACTTTTTGGTTCTTTCTTTTTATTTGACTGACCTACCATGTTTAACTAATTGTTTTTCATGTATTTGGTTAGTTTTTTGGAAATTTTATTTTGAAATTAATTTTGTTTCAAATAGGTAACCTATGTATTATTGTATTTATGTGATACATTTTAACTACTATTACTTAAAAGTATTTTTTATGTTCTAACAAACTAACATGCACACACTCAAACTGATAGGCACATGGTACGCAATTTACATCCCATGTCCATTTGTATTTAGAATGCTTTTATTGTTAATTGAATTAAAAATGGAATTAAAATTTCATAGAATTAAAAATAAAATTTAAAAAAATCAATAATGAAACTTATAGAGGTGTAAAAATTTCATAAAAATACACTTTTCATCTATACACCTCTGTCAGACTTTAAAAATATATGACATTTTTTTTATTTCAATTTTTAAGCGAGATGCAGAGCACATGAAGGAGTTGTTTCGTCAAACATTTCTGGAAACATGCTACCCCTTATGTCATTCAGCCAATTTACAACATTACAAATTTGGGGATGCTGATGTAGAACAGGTAACAAGATATTATGAAGAATATTCTATTGAATTCTCCACTTTCCCCTCAATGAGTGAAATGTGATATTTATGATACCTTGCATCAAATGAAAGTTGAAAATCTTTTATGCAGTCCTGGATCAAGATTTCCAATTTTAATTTAGAAATTTCAGTATCTTAACTTTTGTTATATATCAGTTAGAAATCCTTAAAGGAAAATGCATAGCTTTTCCTGTCAGTCGTATAGTCCAACAGATATTTTTTTACATGTTTTATCATCCTGGGCATTATAATCCAAGCTGTGTTATATTATATTCCAGAATAGAGCAGCAGAGCTGACAAAGATTGCACAGATGAACAAGGAGAAGAATTCAGCCCTGGCTGCTCTCCTATCACCGGATGTAGCACATTTGCCTTTCGACATGAAAGAATTGTCCTTTGATGTGCTTGGGCCATTCTGCCTGGTCAAGTGACATTGTTTACGAATTGACCTTTGGCATCCTGGGATGGCACACTCTGGGCAAGTTGCAATTTTTTGCCTGGTTAAGTGACTTAATTGACATCAGCTGCCATTTGGCATGCTGGGACAATTCTTTCTAGTTATGTCATGATCATTGACAAGAAAATACTGACTATTGTTATTTTTTGCCACAGTTTGACTTGAATCGAAGTTCATGGGTAATATTTATACACACAGGTGTAGTTCAGCTCCAAAAATTATGGTGCAATTCATGGAAAAAACAAGTGCTATTTCACTGATTATTACTGTCAATGGAAAAATGGAGCAGAACATAAAATCTGTGCAGTGAATTTGAAATAATGGCTAAAAAGTGCTAAGACAACTTGTGAATTCTGCAGCAAGAGTTGCAAACATAAGCAGACAGCAAAGTACAAGGCTGACTGCATAGTAGAATAACATTTCTGTTGTTAACTGCCATAAGTAAACTGCCTTAAAATGGTAATTAAAGCACATGATGACCTTTTTATACACCAGACTTAAACATACAAATTTAGTGTGTCTAAATTATTCTTTTATTTATGTTTTTAATAAAAGTAAAAAAAAATTGTGTCAAATTTATTAACACCCTTTCGTTCTTCTCATCTATTCATTCAGTTACACTAAAGATCATCTACCAGTAAGAAATCAAATTGAGCAAATCTGAACTGCAAGTTTAAAGAAAAAACGACTCCTTGCCCATTTCTCAAATTATTTATTTATTTATTTTGTTTATTTTTCATTTATTTATAATTTTTTTCTTTCTTCATTGCATTCCCTAATAGTCTCACATATTCTGGTAAGAGATTACTGATGCACTGATTATTGCCGCCAATCAATAGTGAGTGTTAAGACTTTAGGGATTTGTCTACATTGACCACCATGCACAAACTGTATAACCATATTATGTCATATATTTAGTTACAGAGTTCCCATTTTCCATGCTTTTTGGCATAGGTGGTTGAACAATTGTGGGGGTTAACCATCTTCTGCCAATGACCATTCAGTAAGATTATTGACATCTGGATGTGCCAAAATCATTCTTTTTCATGTATACTATGAAAAAATCCAACAATCTTGTGTCAATTTTATTATGTAAGTATCATTATGTATTTTGTCAGCAACATAAAGTACATTAAAAAGCATCCATTTGTTGTAGCACAGAAAGTGAACCATCTATCAAAATATTAATTTATTTTCAAACATAGAAATGCCATATTATTAATTTTTTTCACATTTTTCTTCTGTTTGGTTGCCATTTACCATGCATTTTTTTTTCAAGTCAAAATAGTTTTTATGCAAGTGGTACCTGAACTATTTTCATTATTAAGATAATATGCCTGTTATAATATGAGCTATATCCAAAGTGAAGTGAAAATACATGACAATCAATGAAAATCACATGCTTTGTTATTTGAAATGCAATTTAACAAAAACAGAAGTTGGTGTTTGGTAGCTATTTTGAATATTGTTACTGATAACAACCATCGTCTAATTGTGCAACAGGTAAGAAGGGCACCCTCTTCCTTCATCCTCTTTTTCAGATATTTAAGCTTCACTTCAAGAAGTCAATTTTTGAATTGCTCTCTCTGCTCTCTCAACTCTTTTCAACAATACTAATGACATAAATATTGAAATTACAGAAATACAAAGATAGATAACAGATTGCCAACATCCTTGAGTTTCAATCTGAGAGACTGGCAGAGAGTCCATTTTTTCTTGTACTCGACTCCAGCTTTGCTGAATTTTATCTCTCACTGGTAGTTGAGCTTCAGTGAATCCACCTCTGTTGTCCACATTGACATCAAAATTCAAGTCGTAATCTAGTACGTCTTCACCAGGGCCAGTGTTAGTTGTCTCTCGTTTTTTGCGTCCTGATATCAATGATGCAATACGGAAGCAAGTGACAGATCCAGGGGTATTAATACACAGGCCATCTGTGCATGTATTATTGTGCACACATTCATCAATATCTGCAAAAATAAAGAAATAATCAGATGAGTGTTTGAAACAGAGTCAGTTCAAATTTAAGGCTGAAACATGATCTAACTAGGTGATATTTTCTACAGACTACAGTAAATGCCACAAGTAAGTAACAATTATATTATCCCATCCTGCTAATTAGTCGTACTTTTGAATGATTTTCAGCCATTTGTGGAGGCATTTACTCATAAAGCACTTTACAGACTTACCAACACATGTTCTAGAATCGTTTGAGAGTTCAAACCCAACCGCACAACCACACTCAAAACTGCCTATCGTATTGGTGCACTTTGACTGGCAGGGGGAGTCTTCCTGGCACTCATCCCTGTCTGTAGAAATAAACACAAACAAACAAACAATCTTTGGTTTATTCTCAGTGGTAGCCTGGTAAAATCATTTTTACCATAAGAGGGAAAACTGGTGTGTGGTGCAAAGCAAAAGTGTGTAGTAGCCAAAATCTACAGACCAGTCTAAAAACAGATCAGCTTCTCCTAATATTAAGAGGGTGACCCTTTATGTTAAGTTGTTTCTGAAAGTTCTGTAGCTTGTTTTCAATTTAGTGCAAAATTCTGGAACAAAATGCCATTGGCTAACATGTCTCACGTGGATAAAGCTCAAAAGTTGAAAATCACATGTAGACTAAATGTATGTATATGCTTGCATAAAAATCACACCCCTTCGCTGCAATCATTTAGCGCATTTATCGGGGGAATTTTTTTCAACAATGTTCACTGGTATTAAGAACTTACCCTGACACCTTGTTCCATTGACTGGGTATCTTCCAATGGGATCCTCACAGATGCATACAAGTTGTCCATTCAAGGCATCCAATGCCACACAACTAACATCATAATCTGAAAGAATTTTCAATAATGACATTTACCATTTATTCTGTAGATCCTTTATCACACTAAAAAAAAAACTATTTAAGAAAAAAAATAATCCATACCAGATTGTCTTCACCTGTATATTTTGCCAAACTATTTTTAGTTTTGTGATTTTATTTAAAAAGTTATATTGCTTAAAATGCCTTTAGATGAAAGGCATCAAGACAAATAGTATCCATACAAAAACAACAACAACAACAAGAACTAGTAAAGGAAATAAAAACCCAATCTCTCAATTAAATGTGATTTGGAATTAGTTTCTATGTAATACAAAACCATTGTTATTCTGAGGCTAACTACCGCACGATGTTGTATCGTTTTCTCCAGCCACCAGTTGAAAGCCTGGGCTACATGCACAGTAATGGCCCGCGTACGTATTTACACACAAGTCCTCACATCCTCCGTTATTTGTTGCACAGGGGTTTTTATTACAGTAACATGTTGATAAAGCTGTAAAATTGAGATAAAACAGCAAAGAAAACCATTCATGTTACCTAGCAGATCTTTAACAGAAAATTTTACAATTTTTAATTTAATGTGTATGCATCAAAATACTGAGATGTACATGCCTGTAAACTTTCATGCAAAAGGTGTTAAAAATAAAGCCGAAAATAATTTCAATATGATAATTTTTCTTTAGCAAAAAAAGTTTAAGAGTGCATTATTTTGTGGGGGTTTGGTGTGCATTTCCCCCTGGTGACATACTTATCCCTTTTTACACAGCTCTGAATTCGTTCAAATTCTTAAACCAGAGATACCATGTAAAATGCCACGTCAAGTTCATTTGGATCAAGTTAAGCCACATGTGAGGTTATTTTTTAAAAATTTTATTGACATAGATAAATAGGCAATATTTTCTGAATGGGGACAATGATTCTACATGTTTTTGGTTAACTTTTTACTATTCAAATAATGATGAGAATGCAAATGGAATAAAGGATGATTATTTAAATAAAGGTTTTTAAACAGATTTTTAAGAAGGCTTGAATATGAAATACACAATTCATTAAAAGTTTTATATACATACCACTTAATGGTACATAGGCCTTGGAATGATGACTGCGATGTACATGGTATCGGTACTTGTGCTTTCCACGTTTTTTAGCTGTAATTATAGTTAGGAGTCCTCATAATTCACCAAATGAAATATGAAATTTTATGTGTACAAAATAGAAATATAATCTAGTGCCATTTCCTACAGCAGTACACGTATAAACATTTAAGAAAATCAATTCCAACTTTCCGTGGTTCAACCAGTATGTTTTATCGTAATCCCTGGTCTTTCAGTTAATGTTCACCAGTTTTTCCTGTATTTGACCAAGGAGTTATAACTCCTTGATTTGACCATAGAATACCCATGTGAAAACGTGTTTGCAAATAAATATATATATATAATTTTGGCTTGTACACATGTAAATGGTACTTACGAGCATATGCAATATCTGATAACACCAAACAGATTATCAAGATGAGGGAAATGGCAGTAAACACTTTCATCTGAAATAACGACATAGCACTGATTGGTCTTTAAATATTTTGATTGACACACGTCTAAAGTCCTCAGCATACAGATAAAAGTAAAGGGGATTAAAAAAGATGGACAAAAAATGAAAGATAAACGAAATGAACACAGAGGCAACGACAAAATGTTTCTAAGAAAATAATAATGAATAACAATAAACCAAAGTTGCTACAAATAAGCCATGGACACCCTACCCATTTACCATAGAATATAGTAAGGAGTACTCGTTAACAAGACTGCCACTTTGATCGGTTTCTGAACCACATAAAAGGACTGTAGATAATCTGCCATTAAGCAAAATTCGATCAAAATCGACAAACAAAGTATTATTTAATAAAATATCTTTATACACGTACATGCATTCCCCGTCGAGCCTACTAAAATTATTCGTTTAGTTCAGCGACATACCAAAATTGTCAGTTCTGATGTGGAGCTTTGTATAAACTGCAATGTATTTTTCAGGTGACCTGTATAAGTGAATAAGAAAAAAAAACGTATGATCGTTTTGCATTGTTTCCAGTTCTTTAGTACACGCATTACCTTGAGGACTAGAGGTCTTCGGTTTTTATCAGAGTAGCAGATTCTGTTACTTTTCTTCTCAATAATAATCCGCTGTAGGTGAACCGTAGTCACCGTAGACCATTTNATNTGTCGTGCCTCGGTTACATACATATATGAACCTAAACGATCAAAACATAGTAATAGGGGGCACGGTATATTCGTGAACACGAATACAGAATGGAAGCAAAAGTAAAGCGCAGGTATGCGGTTAAAATCATACATGTCATGAATATTTCTATTCAAATGTTCAAATGAAAAAATAAAGAACCTTCCACACACAAATTAATGTAGCTCTGATTAGTATGATACTCATTCTCACCTAATATACATACAGGCCGGAAAATAAACAACAATACCGGTGTAACGTGACAGAGAGTCCCCCATGGCAGAGGGTTCGCTTGCCATTTATTTGTACAGGTGAGCCTCGCCCTAGATTTTGACCCTCTTAGGTCAGACTAAGACTGGTTTCCCATGCCTAGATCGATTCATCTGGATCGGTCTAACTCCCTGGGGAGTCTCAGTAAATTTGTTATCAACTTAACCGGCTTAAATGTCTGTCAAGCCTACCGAATCAGCTAGGGGGGAAAGATAATTACCCCCCAACCATTAGTAGGCGTGACAGACATTTAAGCCGGTTCAGTTGACAGCAATTAAGTGATACTCCCCAGGCAGATAGATCGATCCAAATATCTGTGGGAATGGCCCCTAACCCTAACCATTATAACTATATGGAACAGGAGCGGATCCAGAGATATTTTCTGACAGTATTCCAAATTATCTTCGTTGATCCATCTCCACTTTTGATGGTCTTCCAACAGAAAAAAAATAGATACCCGTCAATATAAACTTCAAAATCTGACCGTCTTCCGGAAGACCCAGAAGACGGTCTCAATCCGGACCCTCAGTTTCGTTACACCGGCGTCGAAAAGTACCTGAAATAAACAAGATGAATTTCTCGCAAATGAGCAAAATTGTGAATTGGCTTGGTATTTGGATCATGAATGATAAATATTTAACACAAACTGATTATATTTTCCATACCATTAGCTTGCTAATAATTCCTGTCAATCTGATGAAGGCCTACGTCCAGGTCGGTAGCAAGCTAACGGTGTGGAAAACATTTTCAGCTTGTGTTAATAATTATCGTATAAGATGAATATCATATGAATTGTATGCAAAGTTAGCGATGGTAAAACTTTTAGAAAGTTAATTTTTTCTAATCTCAAACAATACTATAAAAAAAAACATAATTACCTCCAGTCCATAGCGACAGCTTTGTGAACTGAAATCCAAACCTATCGTGTTCGTTGCTCCCTTTTGGTCGTTAATTTTCCGTTTTAAAGTGAATGCGTGTACAGAATTTGATGTGGGAACAACTGATACCTCTGGCTATGGACGAATAGCCTTCGGCTCACACAATTTTGTTTCATGTATGTTGGCAAATGTACGGGTTGAAAATTGTACAATGCCGACCTGAGCTGACCTTCATTTTTACAACGATAAATGCTACATCCGCCCCAAAGAATACCTGGACAGGAAGGGCCTAGAATACTTGTAGGGGTGGGATGGGTTGTTCTCTGATCAATTCGTTTTGCTCTGCACCCCCCCCCCCATCCAAAGGGGGCAAAGGAACTAGCAGGACCTAAAAGTTAACCCTTAGAAAATAACTGGAAAATGTTCCTTAGAGTCCCAGGAAGGTAAAATGACCAACGACAGACAATTTAAGTGGTGGGTAGTGCCCGGCAGACACACCCAAAGGGCCACACCCCTAATGTACAGCTAGCATGCCCCAAAAGTTAACCCTACAAAAATAACTGGAAAATGTTCCTTAGAGTCCCAGGGAAGATGAATGACCATCGACAGACAATTCAAGTGGTGGGTAGTGCCCGGCAGACACACCCAAAGAGCCACACCCTCAAAGTGCAGCTAGCATGCCCCAAAAGTTAACCCTACAAAAATAACTGGAAAATGTTCCTTAGAGTCCCAGGAAAGTTGAATGACCATCGACAGACAATTCAAGTGGTGGGTGCTGCCTGGCGGACACACCCAAATGCCACACCCAGGTGACTTGTGTATGAAATAATACACACACTGGACAAAAGAAGTGTCACCCCCTAACTCAGAGCAATAAAAGTAGGCAGATCTTGGGTACTTATAATGCCTGGTCTACTTATAATGTGACTAATGAGTATAAAACTGCTATACCATGAAATTGTATTGTTGGTCTTGGACATGTACAGCAAATGTTATTCCTGTCTTCCTCCAATATGGCAAGATACAGGTAATTATGTAACGGTTATAGGTGCAAGTTATTAACCTGAAGAGGCGGAATATAAGTAATGTCAGTAAATCGATACAATTGAATTGTTCAGTCAGAACCGTGCAGAGGGTCTGGTCTCGGTATAGAAACACTTAATCAAGAGACAAATTGTCTCTGATGGGTCGTCCAAGAAAAAACTACTGGCCGTGGCACTACCCACCACTTAAATTGTCTGTCGTTGGTCATTTTACCTTCCTGGGACTCTAAGGAACATTTTCCAGTTATTTTCTAAGGGTTAACTTTTAGGTCCTGCTAGCCGGATTTCCACCCCCTGTAAATCAGGGTCTGCCGGCCACACCCCACCACTCAATTTGTCTGTCAGTATCCATTTAGTATACCTGAGGCCATGCTGGAGGACCCCCAATAGGTTTCTAAGGGTTCCCCTAAAAAGTCCTGGGGCCAATTCCATAAAACCATTCTAAGCCCTAGTTGGTTGCTAAACTTCATTCTATCTCTAGTTACCTACTAACTCTATTCCATAAAACCATTCTAAGCCTAGTATAGTTCTAAGTTTCATGCTAAAGTTAGAGTAGGTCTGGGTCTCTTCTAAATCACTAGTATCATTCTAATTCATTTCTACCCACACCTCTGAGGTGTGAGGATGGCCAGGAGAATTTTAGAAATAGTGGAACTCCGCAGAGCAATGCGGCGGGAACGAGTGTTTCGGGATAGAAGGAATCCGTTGGACATTTTTGATGATGTGGAACTTGTAAAAAGATACCGATTTTCCAGAGAAGGCATTTTGCTGATAACTGACATTGTCAAAAATGACATTACTCATCCAACCAGGAGAAATCATGCCTTATTACCATGCCAGCAGGTAATGATAGCCCTGCAATACTATGCAACAGGCACATTCCAATATGTTGTTGGGGACCCTTTGCAAGTGTCCCAGCAAACCGCTTGGCGTGCAATTCATCATGTATCAAATGCTCTTGCAGCAAGGATTGGGGATTATGTGGAATTTCCAAATGCACAAAATATGGCCAACATCAAAGATGGGTTCTATAGGAGAAACATACACTTCCCAGGTGTGATAGGTTGTGTTGATGGTACTCACATTTGGATTAACACCTCTCACTGTTACGAAGCTGACTATGTGAACAGAAAAGGATATCATTCAATCAATGTGCAAGTTATCTGTGACCACAAAATAAATAATAAATAAATAACACAATAAAGAGATTTTCTTGTGTTGAATAATTGGGCTTTCGTTGTCTCTTCCCTGAAGTTGCCATTTTGTCCCCTTTCTGTATAGGGCTTTTATAGAATACATGGTAATGCCTTGACCAGTACTTCCCTCAGCCTGCAATCAGCTCAACTTTCACTGTCACTGCCTTTTGTTTGGCGTAACTGACCCTGTGGTTTTGTGGTTTTCCTATGAATACACCATTCTAGCCAAATCTTAGCAAGCAACTAGTTAGAATGATTCTTAGTTTGGTTTTATGGAATAGAAATTAGTTGATTGCTAACAAGTATACAACTAGAGATTTAGAATCATTCTAAGGCCTAGTATCATGCTAAGTTAGAATGCTTTTATGGAATTGGCCCCTGCTAGCTGGATTTGAGGGGTCTATGTTTTGGACCCCCCTGACCACACCCACCACTGGAAATACGGCAGACTGCCATTTTCATACATAGGTAACCATGTAGGTCATTGCCAGGTACAAGAAAATTGATCTTTCCGGGCATGCTCAACCCTCTGGGATCCCGGACTAGTAGTATCGAAGTAGCAAAGAAGCATTAACGCAGTAGTGGTGTGGAGCATATTTGTAGTAGAAATGCAGCATAGCCTACTGCAATTCTACTCCAAAAAGTACATAGGTTTGTACAGAGAGGAGCATTAATGCAGTAGATAAGCAGCATGATAGAAGCATGTTTCAAATATGCTAATTAGCTCCCACATTGAAGCAGATTTGAAGCATGTTTGCAGTATGATTGCAGTAGTCTACTGCGCTGGAGTATCTACTTCGTTTTCGTGCGTGTGAACGTTCAAGATTACCCTTTTCAATCCGTATACAGTAAATAGGATATGTATCTTAAGTAAAGGCATAAAATTATGCAGAGGTATATTTGACCATTGACAAAATTACGACAGTCTCTCCACCCCTCACACGCCTCCCCCACGTGTCGTCCCTGCAGGGGCACAGTAATTAAATCTCGGCTCCGGTCGAGGGACGGTACATTATTTAAATATAAAAATACATATGAATATATAACTGTGAAATTAAGTAATAGATTATTCATTATACAATATATGAATAGTTGAAAATTGCTTCCGTGCTCAGTATCTCCATATGATGCTAGCTACTAATATCATCACGGAAGACGATGTTTCCCTATTGCATGGTCGGGAGGCAGAGACTGAACATTTCCGGTAGCCAAATAAAATGGACCATTTAAGGGCGTGTCACCGGACTAGGTTATGCGCGTGTTCATTTTGCTAGGTATACTCAGTAGGCCTACTCACTGACAGTGTAATCGACCTATTATTCTGTATCTACATGTATTGTCGTTGGCTTAAGTTAATTATTTTCAAATAAAATTAAAATTGTGTTTAAGCCACTACTTCAAATAATGCTCTAGAAAAAAATCCTCCTCAAAAACAAGATCATGAAGGAACATGACCCTGGACGCACTAGATGTAGGGCCTATAAGTTATCTTGTACTGGCTTTCCATGGCGTTTACAAAAGCATCCGTACAAAAAGAACATGTCAGTGTTCTTGCTGGAGGGACAGACCTACCAGTAACCTAGCCTACATTTCTAAAAAACATACTGACGTGGCTTGTAAAGACGTGCATGAATCATTTGAACGCGCAGAAATAGGCCTATAGGATTTTTTATAGAGCCCTTATAGTCTATTTGCGATTTCCCTCGGTGGTTGCTCTGTGGCACTGAGAACATGCAACTATAAAAGATAACCACAAACGAAAGATCAGATTAAAAAAATCAAAGATGAAAAAAGTCTTTTAAAGGGAAAATAGACACAATTTGGAGGGTTTGACCCCCTCAGCACAGTTTTTGATTGCGTTTCTGTGCTATTCCCTATAAAATAGTTACCAAAAACATAGTTAACAATAATAAACTGTACCATACCAGTTCGTTAGCCCCTTTATCCAGTTAAAATTTGCTTCATAGCCTACACCATTTCGACAGGTAAGTTTAAACTTTTTCATCCAAGCTAGACATGACCTAGGATTAATTTTTTGTTAATCTAACGATGTTCACTTAATGTTAAAATTATATAACGTTATCAGTCATTCGGTAAATCAGTCAGGAAAAACTGTTTGAGGCATTGATTTGTAAAACATGGTGCATATTTATATCTCAATGAATATCTAAGTTATAGACTAGAATCCTGACCATGATAGTACTGCAGACGGGAGACGGGTGTATCACTAAAACTCGACGCCGACAGAGGGCGCGAAAGTCAAGATGGCGGACGGCGAAGACGAAAACTTCAGCGATCCGTATGCAGGTATTATGAACTAACTTCATTTACCGAATATGATAATAAGTGACACAATGAATCATACTGTTTGTTCGCTGTTTAATTGATTCTATAATATTAGCAAGTGAGGAAGCTGTAGTACAACCCCCAGCTTACTAAAAGATCTTATCTGCACTAGCTACCGTCCCCACCCAACAACAACAAATACATCTGTACCTATGAACATTTGTCCTTGCATGGGGAGTTCTCAATGCAGAACATTCAAAGTGGATCCCAGTCAAAATGAGTGTTCATCAAAGTGTGCGCTCAACGTAGCAAACCCATCTGCCTCCTCCCCAAGTCACGCCAGCAGACTGTTTTCCTTTTTGAAAATGAATTCCAATCTAATATACTATATTTTTCTCGTAGTATCCACGGATGAAAAGGGCCCAGAAGACTACGTTCGTGTTCAGGTGGTCGTCCTGGGACTACAGGCGAAGAACACACTGCAAGGATTCAAGATGGTCAAGAAACCAGCTAATTTTACTGTTGATGTTAAATATGAGGATAGGTTTGTAACAAGGATTAATTCAATGATCTCCAATGCTTCGCTGTCCAGATTTAACTTATATCAGTCAGTCATTATGGCAGCCAGGCTGAATAGTTCCAGTCCCTGTTATTATCAATTAAAACTATTCCTCTAAAGCAAGTTAACAGGCGCTTTATAAAGATCATCTCCTCATGGAAAATCTTCATTTTTGTTTCTTAACTGTTGCTGCAAAGATGAAGTGCTGGGACTTTGTTTTGCTACACAAGCAGTGTATAAAGTAAAATGAGGAAAGTTTAAACAGAAATGCTCTCTTACAGGTCCTTCACTCTTTTGGTTTTTGCCAAAGATAAAGACAAAAAGAAGAATCCCAGTCTGAAGAACTGCAAAGTGCATATCAAGAAACTGCCAGATGAAATCATTCCATCTGACTGCTATTATAAGGTTTGGAAATAATATTATTGTAGTATTCATTTATTAATATTCATTTTAAAAGATAATGCTTTTCAGTGTATGTTTTAGTGTATCTACAGTAGTATACTTGGAATCTAATCATTTCATATAACAAATAATATTAGTATACTGAAACTGCAGCATTTATAACATTTGAATGATATGCTTTCACAGGTCGACAAGGAACTTATAACAATATTTCTGCACAAAGCGAAGTCCAGGTCCTGGGAGCGAGATCTTGCTACACATGGCTTAGATACATATACAGAAGAAGATGGTGTCTCTAGCTAGTTATGTTGGCCAACTAGCATCATGAATGTGATATCTTTTATGAAGATTTTCTTGATGATGGAATAAACCCATTTTCTGTGTATCCATCTATTTTACATTATGACGAGGTTGTTTTATGCATGTTTGTTGTGATGTATGTCACTTGGTGCAGATGTGCATCTGGTGTCAAGTAATGACAGTGGTACTTTAGTCATGTTATAGGTGCTAACAGATGTATCTTCATAAATGTTTTCAATTTTACAAGGACTAGGAGCAAATGTTCTCATCGAATTTATCAAATATTGTGAAGTATTATGAATGACTACGTAACAGCATTGAAAATGATAACAATTTGTGCATCAGCTTTTTAGAACATTTTTAAGAGGCATTCATGCTTGGATAGTTTTTTCAAAAGGAAGATGAAATAAATGTCTTTTCACATTTTATTTTGTATGTTTAACAAGGTATTTGTATATTTAGCTTTTGCTTGTACAGTAGGTAGTGTGCAGTCTTCTTGCAAAGTTTAGGTTAATTTCCTATACATTTCGTATGCTACCTCCACATTATTCACTTCTGTAGAAAAGGTGTTGATTTTTAGCTGAGATGTATTTTATTATACTACCCCTAGATAACAAGGGTTATGTAAATGCCCCTGATATGCATAGTGATACAAGACTCTAAGAAGTCTTCCGAGTGCCCATTTGACAAGTTCAGTTTAAGTACTGTTTAGTTACATGTAACTTCAATATTGTTATTGGTACCGGTAACCTGAAGCAAAATGTGAAAATATTTCTACAAGATGTTGCTTTCAAAAGATATATATTTATTACAGTAGTGCAAAAGAATGAATTTAACTTGACAAAATATTAGCCATCAGTTTTATGGCATTTTAGAACGGTATTGCATGTTCACAATTTTAGTTGTCTTTTAGGTGCCTTTATGACAATATATGATTTACTAGTAGTCAAGTTAAATGAGACATTTCAGACCCGAAGGCTGTTGTTGAATAGTGAGACAAGTCACCAAAAACACACCCATGGGTAAATCTAGCTCATAAGTTGAATAAATATGGCACAATTCAATTGGAGGCAAAAGCTTAGTGTACCTCAACCTTACAATGGTCATGCATTTGTTTCTTTCACTGTAGTCCTCTTGTGTTCTGATCTGTGTATAAGTCAGTGGGGTATCTTTTTCTATTTCAGACAAATTTTTCATTTTATATTCCAATTTTGAATGTCACAGTATACAAGAATTCACTTTCATTAATCCAATGAAATATAGCTAAATTTTGATTAAATCTTATCTGAGAGAGAATTTAGTTGATTGTTCACTTATTATATTCGTTGTGTGTTTACTTTCCACCGGGAGAAAGACTGTTTGTGTCAATTCTGCACTTGAAGTTCTTTCCTAATTTTGCTCCACACAAAACTACTTTGGTCCTCATTTAAGATTTGTCAGACTGGGACTCTGAGTACTTCAAAATGTCTGCCACGTTTCCCTCAATAGTTTTGAGGAAACGATGGTCCTCATCGGTGACCGTAATGACCACCCTGTCTTCCTTGTGGGCCACCAAGTCATTAATTGTGAAGGACTTGGACTCGGGGTGTTTTAAATGGCCATTGGTTTCTTCTTTAGTATGGGGCGGCGAGTTTTTCCAACGTATTTGGAAATGCAGAGACTGCGGTGAGATTTTCTTCTGCTTCTTGTCTTTAGTTTTTTGGAAAACGTCTAGGGCATACTTTTGGATGATACACTCGGTTGACGTTACTTGGGACATCTTTTTAAGTCGGTAATGCGGCGTCTGAAACGAATGTTGTTTTTTTTTACGTAATTTGCCACACGATTCGACAAACAATCCTCTTTTTACAACGGAACAAAATTCTGTTGATAAAATATTTGTTTTAAGGTAGTTCATTACTCTAATTATTATGCAGCGTTTTCTTACCTAATTTTTTGGAAAGGAAAGCCGATCTGTGTCCGTTTACCCGGTGTTGATTAACGTGTAGTTACGTGTACGTGTAGTTTTATTTTCTTTAAGTACTTCTTGTAGAAAGAAGTGACGCATTTTGCATCAGTCATTTGCCAGAAAATAACTTAACGGAAAGATTTTGGATATCAGCCCTCAACCACCTTATAAGGTACAGGTACTTTCTACCTGTCAGACAGAACACAAAGAAAATATTCTTTAATTCAAAAGAAATGAAAGTTTGACAGGTGACGATGTTAAAATTCCCACGAGTCACGCTTTTTATATGTTGACACGGCTGATTCATATTTACTCTCGGAAATTCCATCATGTTATTTGTTGCTCATATCAGATAAACATCCGTTTAACTTGTCTCTTTCTCCCGATGCTGTTTTTTTTTTTTTTTTTTTTTTTTTTTTTTTTACACCGGGCTACTAATCAAACATAAAGTAGGTTAAGTAAATAACTACTAAATAAGACGTCACTAAACACTGACTAAAAGGGCAAATATTCGGCTATCACAGAAAAGTGATTTTATTACATCGTATAAAGCCATAAGAAGACTGATTGTATAAAATATAAATATTAGACATTAGCAACAAATGCGGATATGATCCATGGAAATGTATTTTGCCTCCGGTAGCTGATGGTGAAATGATATCGCTGAAATGCACTGAATCGCTCTAAGTCTTCTCTATCGCAATCGCGAACTATACCTACTCTATCACACTATTTTGTTTATGTTTAGAAATTGAAATAGGCTACTTGATGTTAACTCTGAACTTTTGTGCCCTTTGTACTGCAATTATTATAATATAACAGCTAATTCGAACAATTATCGTTTTCAAAAAGTATAATTGGGTTTCTTTTTAATTATAAGTAATAACTTAAAAGCATAGAAATACTTACAAACTGATTAGGTCAAATATCCCTGTATGCACGTATAAAGTTTTCAACTATTATCTCTGTGAAAGTAAATCTTCGCCTACCCAGAGGCGATATATCCTTTGTGAACTTCACAAGTTAAAAAGAAACATACATACATTTCTTTTTTACTTGTGCTTGAATGATATTTCATGCACCTACATTCACAATGATTCTTCGTTCCCGTCCATGGGTCTGAATGCGAAACATGCTGTATATGCTGTCCATCACAACGTCTGGCTTATCACCACATCGTTGTTGTTCAGAGGCTGCTGGCTCAATTTCACGTGCTGCTCAATACCGTACCTGAAATGGCATCGTCCTTTAGTTTCGAAGCAGACCGAGTTCTTTTCAACGCGGAAGCCCTTCAGACCATTTTCGATTTCCCTTTTGAAGATGTTGACAACATTTCCCTCAACAGTTTTCACAAGGCAGTTGTTCTCCCTAGTGTTCGTGATGCTGATCATGACATTGCCTTCAAAGCGACTCTGAATGGTGAAGTGCCCGCCGTATTCTGTTTCCGAAACGATGAGTTCGGCTAATGTTTGGCTTTTTGGTGCTACGCGGATTTGACTGTCAACGCCCCAGCTTAATTCCTCCTCCGCGATCTCTCCTTCTAGGCGATTCAATGTGATTTCGCGTTTGAAGCCTGCGTTTGCCTGGAACACCTCGCACGGCGTTTGTAACTGAACGCCCATCTCCTGTCCCATCATGACCCCCCTTTCAATCTCCACATTACACGAGGACCTCGTCACTCGCTGTGTTTGGAAAGAATAGTCTTGTTCCCGGTCTGTGTTGTTTGTGAAAAACGTTTTGAATAAAACTTGAGCCTGTGGGTGTTTTGGTCGCGTCTCGTTCCCGTAGACAGGTTCAGCGTGGATGAATTTGACTCTCTTCCAGTTGATGGTGTATTCCAATGCTTCATCTGGGATGCGTTTTTGCTCTTTGTCCTTCGTTCTGTCGAACACATCTTTGGCGTAGGCCTTCATAATGTCTTCAATGTCTACCACTTCGGTCGGCATCTTGCTGGTTTGTTGAAATCACTTTGTCTGAAAAGAGAAAATTATAGTGAAGACACATCCGCGCTGAAAGCATACTCATAATAAAGCTGGAAACAATACGAACATTTATTTATCAGTGATCAGACCGATTAAGGTTTGACTCGATAATAAATCACCAATGTTTCTTCAAAAAAGATCCTTTGGTCATAATAAAAAGATGCGCCTCCTTAAATATGTTTGGGGTGTTTGGAAAAATTCCATCAAAAGCCTTTGTTTTACAGGTGAGGGACTTTCGAAAGCCAGAATAATGTCAAACATGAGATAAGAAAATTCGTAATTTCATCTAAAGAAATTAGATTTAATTAGATGAATGTCTTGGCAAAAGAAATTGCCCTCAGAGCTTTGGGAAAGCATTTTTTTTAGTTTTGCCTACCATACCTTGGTATTACGTTATTCTCGTGTTGGCAAAACTATATCGATGCTTGTAAATTACATTAGCAACCCAAACCGACGAGTCAAGTGACTAGCTCGCCAATAACTCCTCTTATACAGAGACTAAGAAAAGGCCATGTTTTTTCGATCGATCAGGAACGTCTTCCACTAGGTTTTTCAGTACTGAGCACTGTGATGGGTAGAGTTTCCAGTAATTATATGGATAAATGCATGGGTTTGATAAAGAATGTAAATTATCATTATTATTATTATTTCGAATTTTCAAAACTTGAAAACAATAATTCGCTTCATGTTTTAATACATGATGCTATATTATTGGATCGTTATCCTGGACTCTATAATTATATATTTTGTATGCACTTGGTCAAGGAGTTCGGTTTTGAGCACCGCGCAAGAGAGTAATGCCAAGACGTTCATAAAGATAATGGAGGGGCTCCCGAGGTTTCAGTGCAGGTCTGCTGGGGAGGAAAATCAATAAGATTCCCCATATATCGCTCAAATCTGTGAACGTCTCTGGGAGATGGGGAAATGCAAAATATATTACGGCAAGGCATCCAGACCATTTTATAAAATGCATTGGGTTTCCTATGAGATCTGTGTTGTAGTGAATCACTAACGGACAAAACGTTTTATTTCCCTTCTGCGTCGAATACATTTCTTTTTTAACTGTCGAGGCAGCATCCTTTCATGCAACTAGAATTGTTACCAGTTTGAATTAGCTATAACCATTTCAAATGATCTATATACAAAAAAAAAATGATTGCCCTTTTAGTATCTAATAAATGTCATTTTCTCAACATTTGATACAAGCACATAAAAACATCGTTCGGATAGAAATAAACATATTATTTTTGGAAGGTCGAATTCAAAGTGCTGCCGCGCCAAGCAGCTGTTTCCTGACAGCAGTTACCTGTAAAATGTTAACCAGACGGGCGCGTGCTTACCACACTTTCCTTGTTGCTCGACCTGAATATTGCACACCTGCCCTCTTTGCTCACCTACTGTCTCGGCTAATGATGATTTACTTCTATGTACCAACATTAATGCAGTGGAAGTCTTATTTGAAAAAGCAGATCTAGACTTTTGGCCTTCCTTTGGATATTGCTCGTTTGTTCTTCGCCTTACTTTGAACGCCTAGTTTGAACACTATATGAAATCATATAAGCATGTAGATTATGACATTAACTTAATGCGCGATAATGCATCTTATGCGGATCGATTCAGGTATATTGCTGTAAAATATTTACCAAGCGTTTATCTAACGTTCGTGCACCAAATCTTTAAACCAAATATAGAAACGTGACCGGCACGCGTCTATCAAATAGGCCAGGAATTTGATATGAGTATAAATGGTAAAATGGAATTTGATATGAGTATAAATGGTATAAAAGTTTTTCTGTTGCTGTCAGAAGCGATAATCGCTTTGCTAGTATGTACATTTTATATCTTCATTGCATTCATTTCTGCAGTGGGCAAAGTACGCTTCTTTTGATTAGGTGATAGTGTTTACAATGCAATGCACCAGATACAATTGTGAAGTAAACAATCATATCAAGGTCGGGTCATTAGCAATCAGATAGAAGTGACAGCTGAACGATACAACATTCTATTTCAGTCTTTGCTTATAAAAAATGCATCCATCCTCTTTGCTGATCCTTCAAGCTGTTTTTTAGCATCAGTTACACCGAAAAAACTTTTTAGCAACAGAACAATTAAGGACTGACACGCCTTCACAGACCCACCTAATGTCAAAACACATAATAATTTGGGGTGCAGAGATACATAACTGAACTGTATATAAGATATAACTGACAGGAAAATCATCATAAGACAATCTGAAAAGTTCACCGTGTTCTATGTGATATCCACTCATGCAGTTGCACCCGAAGATATTGAAGAGACTCACGCCATACAGAAGCACGCGAACACCGTGTAATTTGCCAGTCGTCATCAGTTATCACACTCGGAGGAGTCAAAACGAAAATAATAGCTACTTCGCAAAATCATTACCAGAACAAGAAATTTGTCAAAGTCTTTTCTACAAATTCCATGCATAGACGCACGCTAGGTATGGCGATGGTTAACACCATCTAGTTACAGTGTAGTAGGTCATAATCTCTCTGTCATTTTCACAAACATTGCACTTGTTTTTCATGGTATAAAAATATTAATTGTAAATAAAACGACATTAGCTATATGAATATTAGCATATAGAATATGAACACACTCAACGTGTTTATTATTTGAGCCATAACATCAACATAACCCGCATTCTTACCATGTCAGATAGAAAGGAAGACTGCGCATCACACATGATACTGTATTGTATTTTTGTTTATATAGTATGAATGTGTTCAACACAAATTCTATAACAGGTGGACGCGGGCCTGGACATTAATAATAATGCATTTCAGCAAATGAACCTATTTCTTTTTTAAATGGGCAATACCGGTGCAATGAACGAGAGAAAATTCATTTCTAAAGATGAACTTATGAGTAGTGTGATTGGATGGAGCAAAATATTCGAATTTAAGATCCAAATGAATTGATTTCAATTGCTGCTTTTAAATATATGAAACACAAGGCAGTTTTAATATGATTTCCGACGCTTTTACCTGCCCAACTATAAAGATTCTACTTCTAGAGCAAACGCTAACCTTTCCTAACATCTGGCCTCTGAGGAGGAACAACTGCAAATATCAAATTAAGTAACAATCTTATATTCCCATTTGTAAAAGACCGAGATTTTTTTCATTATAAGTATCATATTTCACACCGAAATATAAGCCTACCTTGATGAATCAAAATGGCCACAGCTGTATTCCTATGAGATCGACCGATGAACCAGCTGGCATGTACAAGTAACAAGGTTTGATTAACGTGAGAGCGCCCTCTGGGGGCCCATAAAATGCCGTCTTACCATTGGTCGATTCTCTTTCCCCACGTCAGAAACAATGCCGATGATACAAAGCCGAGGCATACATTATGCATGCTAATCGATTTAATATGATATGAATGCTGTAAATAATCATATCTTATTGCATTAGAGTTCAACCGATACCGGTATTAGCGTCGCGTCCCATTCAACTGCGTTCTTTATTGATTTGTTAGGCAGAAAGATTGCGCTGCACATATTTTCACAGAATGACATTCATTGGTAGAAAGAATACACTCTTCAGTTTCAAGCCTGATTTGAATACCATCAAATCATAGATAAACGGAGGGTTGAGGTGTCAAGAAGAAAATCTTATACTTTTACAAGCAGGAAGACATTTCTTTTTCTTTTTTTATGTAATATACACGTAGTCCTTTTTTTAACTGTGAAAAGAATTTTCAAATATACTTTTTTGGCCGAAATAACAAACACTCACAGAATAAAATCGCCTCTACTAGTGGGCAATATTCCCAGTTAAGAGTACACTGTTTATCTGAATTACTTTGTCAACGGTTATATTGATATGTATCAACAAGAAGACCCTTACCTTTATCTAAAACAGGATGTTCTTCACTTCCGCAGTTACAGAGACTCTCCTGCACAGCCAATGGAAGTATTCTGAAAGCCAAGCATATTGAAAATGAATCTTAAATCCAATTTTCCATCACTGCTGTGTTTGCCTAAATGCATTTCAAGATTGGTAGATAGCAGTCAATATTTCATGGTTTTTCTTTCAGATGAAAGAGTTATTTAACATGACGGATGGGACAAAAATCAATGAGTTGATGGAAACATTCACCCATCAACCACACTCGGCGAGTTGCTGTGCCCCTCTCATTGTGTTATGTCTTCGCAAGCGCAATCTTTGTGAAGGCGGTTGGAGATGAGCGCTTGAGAGACAATCGCCTTTTGTTGGCACATTTAAAACTCCACACACGATTCAGTTAACTAAAGCTGTATAATAAGGTCAAAAATTTCATCTAAATAGATCTTTTTGTTCATTGTGACTGACATGCAATGTTAATGCTGGAAGTTATGAGACTTCTATAGAAATGTACCTACCAGTCCCAGCAAAAAAAACGCCTAAAATATCAGAAAAAAGCTTCCGACAATTAAGTATGCATACTCCACAATTATAACCGAACTTCAATTTATGAAATAATTTCCGGAAACAGCTTGTAGTTTATCCTCAGTCTGATATGCCGTACCGTTCACCATAATTGCAGGGTGATATGGCTCGGGGTCTTATCAAGCACAATTTACTGAGGTGTAGGTCGACTACCCGTGACTATCAGCAATGCATATTTATATACCGTTACATTCCTTTGTTTTACACCCAAGGGTAACGTCAAATGTAAACACATTTTTATGGCTTTACAAGGACAGAAATTGCCTTTGGTCGACGAACAGGCCTGCTTCCCTCTCTCATGCCTTCTCGAGCCTTTTGATCTCCCCTTACAAGCAGGCTCATATCTCAGAGTTAGCGGTCTCAGTCTAGGGCGTTGTTACATCAAATATTTGTGTTGTTACGTTAATCAACGTTACAACTCTTAAAAAATTACCCTTTTTCCATCAGATATTAGCCTCAGCTTTTTCCGTGCTCAGATAAAATTACCTAGAGCATCAAAGTCGGAAGATAACTATAACGATGTCCAACTCAGTAAGATATATTATGAAGTTGAAACTTGGACGGAAAACTTACCTTAAGTAGTCGAGTGACACGGCAAAAGTGTAGGTAAGCCTCTTCCTGACGTATACATGCAAATAAATTCTTATTGGTGCAAAAATCACATGGTAATCTGACGTCAATGATTTTGCCGCGTAAGATTCAAACTTAAAAAGTAGTGAAATGTTTTTGAAAATAACTCCAAAAAAAATCCAGACAGTGCTTGGAAATGTTAAAAGGCCAAATAAAAATGTTTCTCATAGGAAATGTTTTATTCAAAGTATAATGGGGAAATAGTACTAGATAAACAAAGAGCGATAAATGATCAAGATCAAATACTTGTGTTTCCCGCGCAAACGAGCTTATGGAAAAATGAGTGATTCAAATACGATAATATAACAAGTAGCACTTTTTTCATTTCGTTTGCTGGTGGTTAGAATTGAAAACTATTTCAAAGGTGGAAAAGAAATAATTAAGAGCAAGAGCATGTGCTAGGAAAAATAAAATGATGTAATTTTTGTTTTCCCTCCAAATCTAATGTTTAGAGGAAAAGTCTTGCAAAATTTTGACAAATACATTTCTTTTCCGTTTAAATCAGATCATTACTACTTCGTTGGATTATTCCAAATTAAACTTGCACAGTATGCAATGCATTATTAAAACATTTGTTTTTTACGCATTTTCGACTTTGCAAAACAATTAACTATTATACATGTAAAGCAAATTTTGGCCTCTATATACAAAACTAATCTAAAATGGTCAATAGCGGATCTATAATTTTCTTCCAGTCCTTAAGCGACCAAGATGGCGTGGCCTGAACGATTTGTATTCCATTTATGAAGAAGTCAGGTGTCTGGGCTACTCCTCCTAAAAGTACGAAAGAAAGAAGAAAAGCTGAACGACACAAAACAGCTGGTAAGAAGAGGGAGAGAGGGAAGAAGAGGTTGAGGTGTGATCAATGGTTTTCTTCCAATCGTCCACAGTCCAAGATGGCGTAGCCTGGGTAATCGTTTTTCCGTTGATGAAGAAGGTCGGCGCCCCTGCCACCCTTCCTAGAAATATAAAAGTAGGAAAAAACAGGACAGGGCACGGGAAGGTAGGACGAAGGTAAAGCAGACATTTTGGCTTGAATACAGATATCACGCATTATGTAATAATACATGTAGTACAAGTGGTAGTAAAATATCGCCATATCAGTTTTACATTTTGACACGTTAAAGTTATAATTAATAATGATGAATTTTTATGATAAGATAAAGCACTTTGCAATATCCATTATAGTAACAATAAGTTGTATAAAATGTTTTTCTTTGTTGAGATCCGGTGTAACGAAACTGAGGGTCAGGTAACAGAAAGTCCGCCCTCTACTTAGTTATAATGGTTAGGGTTAGCATGACCTAAGTGGGTCAAAATCTAGGATTACCGGTATAGTACAAATAAATGGTAAGTGCGCGGACTCTCTATCTTGGGGGACTCTTTGTCACGTTACATCGGTTATTCAACGTTGAAGAGAGAGAGAGAGAGAGAGAGGAGAAAAAAATCATACAAATTGAGTTAGCTCTCAAAAGTCGCTCAAACAAATCACATAATGTTTTATTTCATATTACTTGTGCATCCATATTTCCACTGGGTTCTCAATGGACTGTCGTAGTTGGCCAGTTCATTTATAAACTGGCTTGGGTTTACACCCACTGTCCTTGCTACAGCTGCCACATCACTGTAAATGTTACATAACAAGATTACAGTGCGTATCTGGATTACAGGTTGACAAAATCCCCACATCAAAATCACACTATTTGATATGTATATGTAGATGGAAATGTACATAGATGTATCAGTTTCCAATTCCATCGAACAATAGTGGATGATAAGAGGTTTAAGTGTTATAGCTATGCACATAGTAGGGGCTCTCGTTGATTGTGCGAGTACAGACCATGACTCGCCAATAAATTCAGAATAAATTTGGCCAAGAACAAGCTTCATATGAAAACTGTAAGTTGACCCTTCTTACCTGATAATAGCAATGGCAGATTTGTTCTCAGTCGGTTTGTTCAGAAACCTATCCTGTACTCTGAAGACTGCGTTCATATATGCCAACGCCACGGCTTCATTGTTCTTGGCAGCGATGAGCTCTGCCCCCTGCATCGTGCATGGGAGAACTTTTTAATGAGAATTATGACAAACCATACTCTTAAGACCAAGGCCGCATTCAGAACAGGGGACTAACTAGTCCGAGGGTCAAATATGGCGACCCACTAAAAAGCTTGTCGTCTAATCCGCTAATAGACACTAAATATATTCCCCGTGGGGCAGTATTCAAGTGGGTCGGCCATATTTGGCCCTCGGACTAGTTAGTCCACTGTTTTGAATGTGGCCTAACACAGATTTATGTTTTACATAAATCTCTGAAGATTTACCGTGGAACATAACACTTAATCTAGAAGAATCTCTATCAAAATTGAGGTGTAAAATCTCAGAAGTCCGTTATTCCGCGGAAAAAATACATGTATGATAACCCATCTACTACTGTAATGCATTCAAACCGTTTAAGTACGTATACATTCACCACATTTAAAAAAAGACGATATTCAAACTAACAATCTTTGCCAAACATTTAACTCGAAAGTACAAAAATAGCTCTTTGTGTATTATCTGATATCAATGAAAATAACTATTGTTCAATGTGACGGTTATACTTACATTGGATTTGATCATTTATACGGTTGGTCATGAATTGCGAAGTCAGTCGAGCTTACATTACTAAAACATTGTCATTCTCTATGAAAATATGCACTTAATCATCCCACTTACATGCGATGACATTGACACTACTCAAGGTGCGAATGATTTGTGAAGAGTCACGTTCTTGATCATGATCAAGAATCAAAGCACTTTAAAAAAAATATAGGATACAAAATGGTTCTTTCCAAAACCTGCCTAAAAATACAGGCCTACAGACATGTATTATACAATCCCGCACACGTAGGCCTACAGTTAGTTCAGAAATATCTCAAAAGGAACTGAAGTTTATTTTCGAAATAAATAAATAATTTAATAAGTCATTTTTGTCTTTTAACCTTATTTTACCTACATCAAGAACATGCTCATTTTGGAAGACTTTAAAAGACATTCCGAGGACCGCCATAACCAACTGAAAGTCGATTGAACCATCAGAAAAGGTATCGAATAATTCACCTGTGCTAAAACGTAAGCGTTGCGGTGGTAGGGCAATGGAAAGGAATGAAAAAGAAGTCGCAACCTCTTCCCACCATAATAGTCTGCCACCTAAAAAGAAACGCAAGATAATAAAGGTAAACGAAGTCCAAAGAGAAATATGACTGTTAATCAATTGTAAATAAATTCTCATACAATAAGCTGTTACGTGTTACAAATCTTGCGAGAAAATAAAAACAACCGCGAAAAATAATCTTCGGAATTCAAGTGAAGCCTTGATACGAATTCTAGGTACATTATTATGCGTTAACTCGAATTTCAGTTTTATAAAACAACTGAAGTTCACTTTTTAAACATGAATTATTTCAGTCATAAAAAGCCAATCAATCCCAAAATTCATTTTCTTTGCTGCCGTAAATGCACCCTTAGTAGTTATAGCGGTTCTCGTCTTTAATTTAAAACAATATCATTAATGCGCGTAAATCTGTAAAATATATATTTCCCAGAGTGTTACCTGTAGCAAAGTCGGGAATGCCTCCTTGGTATCAGAACATTGCAGATCTATAAAGAAATCCAACTGAATAGGAGCACTACTGGAACCATTCCCGTACGTGTGTCCTGGGGGTAGTTTGGGAACTGGGACCTGACTTGCTCCCAGGGAAACAACAGAAAATAACACGACAAGTTCCACTGCAGCGTTCATCCTCTTTCAGCACGACTGACAGGATTCAGCACCAAGTCTGGGCAATAACCTCGTGATGCATGCCCTGCCGCTCGTGACGTCACACACCATTATCATGTCAGTGGCTTGGTGGAGGCAACCGAGACATTTACCTGCCATTGTCCTGTCAAGCACATCCCAGGATGTATTTTAGTAATGCAGAGGGCGTGCACAGCTAAATGATGGGCTCTGCCTAACACTATACTTTACCTCCGGCAAGAAGTCACCGAGAAATACATGTAGGCCTACATGGTCTCCTGTTTCAATCTCTGGAAAGGTCTTCCCTCTAACAGGACCACAGATTGATTTTCTCTTGATAATCTCTGGATTATTCATGACAATTTTTTTCTGCCGTAGATTAATTTCATCACTCAGCAGGCCTCCAGTGTAGAATATCAAAGGCCTGCGTGGCAATAAAAATAATCGTGAGATAAAAATAATCATTTTTCTTTTGGTGTGAGGAATATTATGAATTAAATTTATATTAGTTGAGTAGGAAGGTGGTCTAACCCCCCACCCCACCCCAGCACACACCCTGCTTACGGGCCTGATGTACAGCTGAAGATGTGACTGAGGATATTGATGTGACAGATTAGAATGCGACATGGGTCCAACTTCAGGGGGACTCTCGCTGAATGCTATCAGAACAACACTTCCTTGCAATGAGTAGAATTCAGCAGAAAATCTGCAGCCATGGTGATTGTAAGAATACATAGGAAACAAGAGGCATGACAGTCTGTTAACCTGATTACATCTAGTGAGAGTACTCATCGAGTTGGATCGATCTAGGTAGAATTATAGTTTCATTGGGAATGGGTCCACAGTACTGGCCAAGTACTCATAATTTTTACCTCCGCCAAGGAGGTTATGTTTTCACCCCTCTTTGTCTTTCTGTATGTCTGTCTGTCTGTTTGTTTGTCATCAACATAAATCAAAAAGTTATGGACCGATTTTGATGAAATTTTCAGGGTAGGGCAAAAATGGGTTTACTGAGAAGTGATTAGTTTTTGGTGGTGATCTGGATCAATAATCAATCAATAATCAATAACCAAAAATCAATCATCAACATAACTCAAAAAGTTATGGACCGATTTTGATGAAATTTTCGGGGTAGGGCAAAAATGGGTTAACTAGAAGTAATTAGTTTTTGGTGGTGATAGGTATCAATAATCAGTATTCAAAAATCAATCATCAACATAACTCAAAAAGTTTTGGACCGATTTTGATGAAAATTTCAGGGTAGGTCGGAAATGGGTTAACTTAGAAGTGATTAGTTTTTGGTGGTGATCTGGATCAATAATCAATCAATAATCAATAACCAAAAATCAATCATCAACATAACTCAAAAAGTTATGGACCGTTTTTGATGAAATTTTCAGGGTAGGTCAGAAATGGGTTAACTTAAAAGTAATTAGGTTTTAGTGGTGATCCGGATCAATAATTAATCAATAATCAATAATAATAATAATAATAAATTCTTACCTCGCGGAGGTCTGCGCTCTCGGAGTGCTTTTCTAGTTACAATATTTTTCACACGTTTTCTTGTGTGGCACCAGCTTAAAGATCAGTAAGTCCAGGTTTAAAACTTTTCAAAGAATTTAAATAAACATATATTGGACTGTTGTGATTATCTTATAATTACAACTTTTATATTTATTTAGGGTAACACTTCTTATTATACTAACAGATTCCGCTGGACAAAGTGCATTCCACCTGGGTGGACGGTGAGGAGTCATTTTCATGACAAAGAAGGGCATATATCTCCCGACTCAAAAAAGTTGATGTGATTTTTATTATTTATATTGACAGAACCATCATTAGTTGATACTTATGGCAAGTATCATGAGTCTACTCCCCGCTGCGTCAGGTGATCTTACGTTTTTTGTGAGGGTGGGGTCTCAAAGTGGTTTCGGGAGAGAAGTGAGAAAAACTGGCATCAATTACAAGGGGGATAAAATCATTTAAAAAACAATTTACTTGTGATGTTAGATGTTTGTTCCAATCGAATAAATACATAAATATCAAATATTTTATTCCTTTCAAAATTATTCTCATGTACAGATATATGTACCATAGGCCTATTTAGGCCTAAAGGAGAGTGAAACTGGTCATCTCGGGACAAAACCAGAGCAAATATTGTGCACCCCATATTTTTGCCAAAAAATGGATATTTTTCCATTTTACTTCACAGAAGTTCATAACTCCTTCGGACATATCTTCATACCAAATTTCATTAAAACCCCCCACCCCTCCTCATTTCGCCGCTATTTGGTTGGGTTTTGGTGGTGATCCAGATCAATAATCAATCAATAATAATCAAAAACTGCTGGCACTTAATTGATCTTAATTGGCACTACTCCTCAGAAATGAAGATTCTTCCGAGATAATAATTAATACGTTCACAATGGAAAAAGTACAGTTGCTGCATATTTTAACAATTACGTTTGAGAAAGGGCATCTGTTCCGTTTTTTTTTTTTAATACTGAAGTATACTATAAGTACTTAAGTGTAATTTGACAGTTTTGAACTCGGTGCCTAACCCTGACAACGGCGGAGGGATATATATAAAACCACAACAATAGAGAGCAGGTAGAGCAGGTAGGCTTGACCGTATACTGCCAAGAATAATCGGAAAATGGTGAGAAGAAAATGCGATAACATTATCAGATAAAATCAGATTCATTTTACTAATAAAATTATTCTATGTTGAATTTAGCGTAAGTGGTAGTTTTATGTGAAAGTATTACTATTTAGTAATATATACACATTCTTTCACTCATCACTCATCTCTCAAACACTTGAATCTTTTCCATGAATGAGAATTTGATGTACTGATATGCCTTCCTTACACATTACGATATACATGCATTCTGACCATGAATTAATAAATGTTTTCAGGCCCATGTGTTACTTTAGAGCGCATTCAGAACAGTTGTTCCGCGGACTAACTGATCCGCAGACTAAATATGCCGCCAATTTATGGTCAACCCCACTGAAAAAGCAATTCCCGGGGAGACCATGAGGGAATTAATTAGCAGCATCCCTTTTAAGTATATTAAGTTGGTGGATCAGTTAGTCTGCGGATCATCTCTTCTGAATGCACTCTTATAATATAANTAAACATATATTGGACTGTTGTGACTATCTTATAATTACAACTTTTATATTTATTTAGGGTAACACTTCTTATTATACTAACAGATTCCGCTGGACAAAGTGCACTCCACCTGGGTGGACGGTGAGGAGTCATTTTAATGACAAAGAAGGGCATATATCTCCCGACTCAAAAAAGTTGAAGTGATTTTTATTATTTATATTGACAGAACCATCATTAGTTGATACTTATGGCAAGTATCATGAGTCTACTCCCCGCTGCGTCAGGTGATCTTACGTTTTTGTGAGGGTGGGGTCTCAAACTTGGTTCGGGGGAGAAGTGAGAAAAACTGGCATCAATTACAAGGGGGATAAAATCATTAAAAAAAAACAATTTACTTGTGATGTTACATGTTTGTTCCAATCGAATAAATACATTAATATCAAATATTTTATTCCTTTCAAAATTATTCTCATGTACAGATATATGTACCATAGGCCTATTTAGGCCTAAAGGAGAGTGAAACTGGCTATCTCGGGACAAAACAAGAGCAAATATTGTGCACCCCATATTTTTGCCAAAAAATGGATATTTTTCCATTTTACTTCACAGAAGTTCATAACTCCTTCGGACATATCTTCACACCAAATTTCATTAAACCCACCCACCCCTCCCCATTTCGCCGCTATTTGGTTGGGTTTTGGTGGTGATCCAGATCAATAATCAATCAATAATAATCAAAAACTGCTGGCACTTAATTGATCTTAATTGGCACTACTCCTCAGAAATGGAGATTCTTCCGAGATAATAATTAATACGTTCAAAATGGAAAAAGTACAGTTGCTGCATATTTTAACAATTACGTTCGAGAAAGGGAATCTGTTCCGTTTTTTTTTTAAATACTGAAGTATACTATAAGTACTTAAGTGTAATTTGGCAGTTTTGAACTCGGTGCCTAACCCTGACAACGGCGGAGGGATATATATAAAACCACAACAATAGAGAGCAGGTAGAGCAGGTAGGCTTGACCGTATACTGCCAAGAATAATCGGAAAATGGTGAGTAGAAAATGCGATAACATTATCAGATAAAATCAGATTCATATTACTAATAAAATTATTCTATGTTGAATTTAGCGTAAGTGATAGTTTTATGTGAAAGTATTACTATTTAGTAATACATACACATTCTTTCACTCATCACTCATCTCTCAAACACTTGAATCTTTTCCATGAATGAGAATTTGATGTACTGATATGCCTTCCTTACACATTACGATATACATGCATTCTGACCATGAATTAATAAATGTTTTCAGGCCCATGTGTTACTTTAGAGCGCATTCAGAACAGTTGTTCCGCGGACTAACTGATCCGCAGACTAAATATGCCGCCAATTTATGGTCAACCCCACTGAAAAAGCAATTCCCGGGGAGACCATGAGGGAATTAATTAGCAGCATCCCTTTTAAGTATATTAAGTTGGTGGATCAGTTAGTCTGCGGATCATCTCTTCTGAATGCACTCTTATAATATAAGTACTGGCAAAGTACAGTCACTTAAGATCACTTGAGTGTTATAAGGAGATTACGTAATACATTAAATGTGTATAATTTCTGCACTTTCAGGCAGCCCAACTCACAGACGAACAGATTGCTGGTATGTTCTATGCAGCATAATGAGGACTGATGATGATAGCCTGATAATGAGTCAGAGATGTGTTAGGAGGTTATTTTGTGTAAAAGACAAGATAGTGTTTAATATGAATTGATTTACCATGATAACAAATTTGGGCTGTGCAAAAAGTGGTTTGAATGAATTTATCTGCAATTTGCATCTTTGAACCATAAGCATTTTGTCATGTCATGATCTTTAACCATGTGGATTTTTCATAAGTATCACTAGCTTAAACCCGTAAATAAATATTTTTTCCATGTCACCAGAATTCAAAGAGGCATTCTCCCTGTTTGACAAGAATGGGGATGGGACCATCACAACCAAGGAGTTGGGCACTGTGATGAGGTCGCTTGGACTGAACCCTACAGAGGCTGAACTTGTGGATATGATCAAAGAAGTGGATGCTGATGGTAGGGACAGCCTGGTTGCATGCTGGTTTAGAGGACATTGCTCAGCTCTTGAAATGTTAATAACCACCCTGTTAAGATATATTCAAATGAGATATGGATACTTTGGTACATAACTCATCCGCCCAACTGGCTGGATACAGGAAATGAAACGGGTCTTTTTACATTTTCATAATGAAAATAGACCAGTTGTGATTTATATTAGTTTTTTTTTTTTTTTTTTTTTTTTTTAACACCAAGTTTTATTAACTCATGGGATCAGCCTCCAACATAATCCTAATGATTTGGCTCCCTAGAGCCGTGGCAGGTGAAGTGAAAACTATTAAAACTACTGCCAGAAATAAATAAATAACAAATCCCACTAGCTGGGAGGATTGTCTGAAATTTCAGTGTAGAGCTAGTGGTTATTAGCTAATTTGGCTTCTTTGAATGCATGGACATTGGGTGTTAGGTTGTATAAAATGAACTGTTCCATGTAAAACTTACTGTAGCCTGGGAAAATATGAGCATGATAACCAGTTTGAAATACTCTTGATTAATATTATAGGCTATAATTGATTAATATTCACTTTGTATTTATTCTTCTGTCCTATACCAAGTTTCTGAATTGAGAGAACTAATTTATTAATCTTCTTTTTTGAAGGTAATGGGACAATTGATTTACCAGAGTTCTTGACCATGATGGCTAAGAAAATGGATGACTGACAAGATTCAGCACCAAGTCCAGGCAATAACTCTGTGATGCATGCAATGCTGGTCATTACATCACACACTGTATATCATATCATGTCAGTGGCTTGGTGAAGGCAGATGAGGCATGTTATTTAACTGCCCTGTCTAGAACATTCCAGGATTCAGTGTGAAGTGAAGTGAAGTGAAGTGAAGTGATAAGGGCTCTGAGTAACTCTGCATTACACTATACCCTACCTTTCAGAAGAAGTCACTGAGAAGTAGATGGTCTCCTGTTTCAATCTCTGTAAAGGTCTTCCCTCTACCAGGACCACAGCTTGATTTTTCTTTAGACATTCACTGATATGTCTCTGGCTTAATCATGACATTTTTTTTTCTGCTGTGAATTACTCAACTGGCCTCCAGTGTAGAATACCAAAGGCCTGTGTGGGTATAAAGATAATCGTGAGGTTCTCAGATATAATCTTCCATCATCTTTCATTTGGTGTGAGCAATATTATGAACTAGATATGTATAAGTCGAGTAGGGTAAGGTGATGTTATTATTTTTTTAAGCCATGTCCTTCAACATGTTGATCAGCATTCTTGAGATACACTTCGAGTCAGGCTGATGGGTCAACATTTTTCAGTTATAGTTTGTTCAGTTTTAAAATATGCTGGGTTGTTATGTAACTGAAACTTAACAAAATCTCATCAACTTCATAACCATCTTAAAAATGAAGAACATCCTCAACCTCACATCAGGCGTTGTTCTGCTGGTATCCAAGAATCTGACCATTCATGTTAACAAATCACTGATAAAAAAGAAAAGAAAGAATTTTATTTTACTTTAAAATAAGGAAATAAAATATGTAACATGGACTTTAAGTTTTTTTACTAAAGAAAGAAGATAGAATAAAAGAAAGTAATATGACAGTCTGATACATATATTTTTCTAATGATCCCACAGCAATGAATGTTATTTAACCCTCCTCACAAAAATTAACCCAAAACATTTTATTGCTTAAAATATGAGATAGATAATTACAACCATTCAAATGGTGTCTTATTGAAGTGGCAGGTAAGTTTTTAACAAAAACTTCAAAGCCCACCCTTTGTCAGTGTAAGAATTCATTCTCGACCACAAAAATATTACATGACATTTGACTTCCTAAGATGCATTATTTGTTAACCATTACTCATAGTGGGAAACACTGTGGTTCCATACCACCAACTTTTACTTTGGAGGTTTGCAACAGTGCATGAAATGTTTCTTGTAGATTCATTTAATTTATTTACATTTCTTGACAAATAAATTTTTCCCAGTGATAATAGTCGACTCAAATTTTTCTTCGTAAGTCACCTAAGTTTCACCCTCAGGCTTTGTACAGTATTGTCAATGCATCCAAGTAGTATGTTATCCCTGTCAGTTACCACAATAGAGTTCACCCAGTCTGGGGTAGTATGCTTGCACAATTCCTGTAAAAATATGAATCAAATTGTATATATACTAATTTCCACCTCAGAATTGAAAATAAATTATGAAAATTTCTCAATATCAAAATTTACATTTTGGTGTAAGTATGTCTCATTTTTGCCTCTACTTTACAAATATTCTAAACAAGATAAATTTTGAAAAATTCAATCATACAATGTAATACCAATGCTCAATATCAATCAGGGATTAAACAAATAAAACAAAACAAAAAATTAATTATGTATTCATCAAAATAGTACAAATAATGATAATAATGAATTCTCAAAACTGAGCTAGACAAATATCTCAGCCTAATGGTCTAATTTACCTTCCCATTTTGCACCACTATCAAGGAGTTGAAATAACCAGCACACAACAGCAGGTCACTATGGTTCTCACCAGGCAGAGAGCTCAACTTAGTAATGGGAAGTTCAATGTTGGCATATTCTTCTGACAAAATCTAATAACAAATTTGCAAATGTTGTTTTATTTTTATCATATTTTCAGGACAGTAAGATAAAACAGATTTTACCTTTCTTATGAAGGGCAAGGCATAGATCTAACATTAACAGAATTTTTTGTATTAAATAATGTAAAAAAACAAAAAATAAATGAATTTGAAAAATAGCTTTATAGAGTAAACTGCCAATCCATTCTTACCTGAAAATTGTGGAGAATGTAAATTGCTCCCGTCTCTCCACCTAATGCCACCTGGTGAGCAGATTTTGAGGCAGCCAAACTTCCAACTTCATCAGGAACTGGTGCTGTATCATCTCCTTCAACATGAGCAAACTTGCCACAAGTCATCTGGAAAAAACACATACAGTTTGTTATTTTATTCCATTGAAAACAAAAGTGATTTTTATTTTAGAATACAATCATTTTAATTACAACACATGACACATAACCTTTATTACCATGATGTCCAATAAAATAATAATTCATCAGCACTGTGATCACTAGAATTAACTTACGTACAATTTTTGTTTTATTATTTTGTTATCTCATATCTATCTAAATATCTATATAACTGCACTGGCAGACAGCCCAAAAACTACTGGAATTATCAGCAGGTAAAATAAATAAATAAATAAATACATTACACACAAATGCATAGTTGCTGACTAAAATAATAATAATAATAAATTAAGACTATTTTATGAACTAATGAGCTTGCTTACTGCACTAATTACGCAGGGAGTCTGTATGACTTTCACCACAGACCCCTGCTGGATGATGTAAAGGTTTCTACAGGAATCAGAAGCCAGTATGTAATTTGTTGACGCAACACCAGGACAGCTAGGGATCTCCAGACTTAGCAGGGATTTGATCTTATAGGATCCAGATACTGACTGAAATAAGAACATTAACAGTGACTGACTGGAAAACTATGTTAGATTGCAAAAGGCATGTACTTAGCTTGCTGCAGAATGGAATACAGAAGTATCATTTCACTACCATCACTTGTCAGGCTAAATTAAACATTATTTGTTTGCAATAAAGCACTTATTTGAGCATACCGTAAATAACAAGGCAGCAAAAGTGTCAAACGTACAGACATAAAGCATAAAATAATCAAAATGCCAATCTTTGCAAAAAGAAAAATTCACAAAAACTGCATAACTTAAAGTAAAAGAATCCAAACAGGCTGGTTTTCAAACTGGAGCTGTATTATAGTCCTTATTTATTTTACTTTATGTAATCATGTTGCTAAGGATAATAAGTCACACAGTTGTCCGTTTATTGTGTTATGATGAAAATATCATGGCAATGCTGACAAAAGATCCAGTTGCTGGTTACATGTACAGCCACTGTGTCTGTACATAAAAATACCTTGGAAAAGAAATTTCAAAATTTACAAGTCAATAACTGTTTTAAAAAGTACCTTTGGAACAGGCACATGGTCTCTTGCTCTTATTCTCCATAACTCACTGTAAGGAAGCAAGGCACAGACATTCCCATCGCTATCTCCTGTTACCACGGCAACATGTCCAGCTGAAATTACACATTTTTACACAATATCAGTAAATATACAACACTTAAAATGTTCACTTCAGTACAATAAAATGCAGAAATAATGAAATGTACTTTCATGTCATATACTGGTACACGTACTTCAAGATTGCTTGTGTTTTAGATGTCTAAAGTGATCATTATGCCTGTGTTAGGCCTATGCAAACTTCGCTATGTCATGTTACATGTACCAGTGTTTTACCACTGCAGGTTTTCAAAAGTTTATCAATAAATAAATAAATAATCCATTTTATTATCATTATGTAAGTAAGTGTTCATGACCAGCTGAGGGTGGGTTTTTTAAAAGGAGCAATCTAAAGTGAAGTGTACTTAAAACAGACATGCTGAAAACTTTTCAGAATGGCCGGACATTTGGACCAGCAGTAATGAAAAATTTGCCGGACTTAATGGATTTTTGTCGGACCGAAAATCACCCTACTCATTTGAGACAAATACTACCAGTACGATTAGGTAGCTTACTTTGTTTGTGAATGTGGTAGATTTGAAATGGAAGGGAGAAAAAACGCTTTGTGTTTTATATAATTTTATTAGTGAAGTATGTCAAACGATGACTGTAAATTCTTAAAACTCTTGTTGGTCCTTTGGACCAACCAAGTCCAATTTTCTACCGGTACGGACAAATTTTCCCGGTCATGACCGATCGGACCGACAGTTTCAGCATGTCTGTTAAAAGAAGGTGGAAACAATTTACAATTATGGTGAACAGTACTAATTACTAGTGGAATGCTAATAATCCTTGATTAAGTGAATGTCCAGGCAGTTCTTACTGTCATCTTGCTGTATCTGCATGCAGTCGATGCTGTGATCAGAAACATGACTTCTACTCAGGATCTGTTCTTGGCAGAAAATGGTGACACTTCCTCTGGAATCTCCCACTACTAGATCTGTGGCACCAAACCTTGTTACATCATGGACTGCCAGTGCCTGAATAGGGCCACCTTTGGTCTCCAAACTATGGAGAAGCTGCCAAAGAAAAAATAAAGTAAAACAATAGAAAAAAAAGTGAGAAAAAGATTTACAAAATAAATAAATAAATAAGGTTTCAAGCAATAACAGAAACAGGGTAAGAATATACTGTAGTTTGTGAAGAGAAGGGTAAGGTGAGATTAACTGGTCATTTTGTCCTTATACGAGTATGTGTGATTAAATCGGCAGAGAGGACACCCAGTTGATTCATAGCTGTTTCACAAATTTCAGGTAAAATGCTTAACAGAGCAATATAGTTAATTTTCTTTACTACTGGATTGTGCATAATCAAAACCTAAAAATTTGGACCTTAGTACAATATATGGGTTACTAGTACCTCCTGCCCTCTCCCAACTCCTGAGATTTGTGCCAAGTTCAAGGCACTTCGAATTATTTTAATACATGTACAAGGAGAAAATACCAAGTATTAGTTGATAACACACAGACACTGTTATCCTTAAACTAAGGGTCACCTTAACATTTATTCCTCTTTGTATTTGTGCAATGTCATATATTCTTATCACACCATCTTCACAACCAGTAACCAGAGATTGACATGCCTGCCTGGAAGGTAAATATATATCTGAGTTTCTACTGTATCAAATGTTACTATACACTGCCCAATGTGTTATTAAAAACCCATCACATTGGAGTATGTATCAATAAACTTTAAAGGACCAAGCAAATTATCAGGGCCATTTTAATATTGGTGTAATATAGAACATTTGTCACTCCATTAATTACTGCAGTGCTGGGGCAAAACAGTACTATTGTGAACTGATTTGTTAACATGACAACAACATACGTTTCATTAAGAACAAAGGACTTAAAGGATCGGGGGGGGGGGGGGCTAAGGGCTAATTATGTGTGGTGCCTCAGCTACTAGTAAATTCGAGTATAGGTGAAATCGAAAAGAACTGGCAAGGGGTTCTTACCGAAAAACCTTTCCAACTTTTATAATATTAAAGTTCTCGGGAAGCTTTTGGTTCCAAAGCACATCTATAGTACATTTGCCTTCAAAGACTGGCATTTGTAAGGTAGGCCGCTTTCTTTTCACAACAGCCAGTCACGTAAAACTTTCCGTACTCCAGGAGTGACAGAGAAGAGCTTTAACTTTCAAGAGGAGACAAATTCCATTTTCCCAATCTAGGACAACAGTGAGTGGGCCAGATCGTGTGTAAAGTCATGAAATCATGTTACTGAAGCTGTATTGATTTAACTGTGTATGGCTCACTTCAGCTGGCCGTCCGTTCGTTCGTGATAAGCTCCTCCTTGGGAGCAAATCCAGTTCATCTGTCTGTCCATCTGCTGCACGGATTTAGTTGCAGATTGACTTCAGACAGGCACAGTAAATAAATAAATAAAAAAGATCAAAATTGATTTCGTATTTTGTTCCAATTTCATAAAATCGCCAAAAATACCCCATAATAGTGTAGCCTATATAATGACGTACATTAAGAAAATCGCGAATATCAAAATACTAAATCGATTTTGATTTTTTTTTACACTATGGAAGGCCTATGTAGCCTTCTTTTAAGAAGACTTCAAAGTCTTTTTTATTTTTTAGGTTTATTGAACAATCGAGGTGACGGCCAAGCGTGGCTTTCAACGGTGACAAGTGGCCTGTCATAAAAAGGCAGAAATGGGCAAGAGGAAAACTGGACTAATGCCGACATCCTTGGCATGAGATAGGCCCGCAAACGGCATTAACAAATAAGGCACCCCAGGAAAGTATCTTGTATCTAAAACGCAGCAATAGGCCTGCTAATCATTTTAATATTTATTTTTTACATACAGTATATACATAAGCGTGATTAGCGCTTGTATTTTGATCATTCTCAGATGAATTATAATTAATACATGTCATAGGGGGTTGCATTTGGTACATTTCCCGTTTGATTCAAATATTGACAAAAAAATAAAAAATTAAAATCCTACCAATATTTAGATCTCTTTTACACGTTAAACTTGTGATATATACATGTANTGTCCAATGTGTTATTAAAAACCCATCACATTGGAGTATGTATCAATAAACTTTAAAGGACCAAGCAAATTATCAGGGCCATTCTAATATTGGTGTAATATAGAACATTTGTCACTCCATTAATTACTGCAGTGCTGGGGCAAAACAGTACTATTGTGAACTGATTTGTTAACATGACAACAACATACGTTTCATTAAGAACAAAGGACTTAAAGGATCGGGGGGGGGGGGGGCTAAGGGCTAATATGTGTGGTGCCTCAGCTACTAGTAAATTCGAGTATAGGTGAAATCGAAAAGAACTGGCAAGGGGTTCTTACCGAAAAACCTTTCCAACTTTTATAATATTAAAGTTCTCGAGAAGCTTTTGGTTCCAAAGCACATCTATAGTACATTTGCCTTCAAAGACTGGCATTTGTAAGGTAGGCCGCTTTCTTTTCACAACAGCCAGTCACGTAAAACTTTCCGTACTCCAGGAGCGACAGAGAAGAGCTTTAACTTTCAAGAGGAGACAAATTCCATTTTCCCAATCTAGGACAACAGTGAGTGGGCCAGATCGTGTGTAAAGTCATGAAATCATGTTACTGAAGCTGTATTGATTTAACTGTGTATGGCTCACTTCAGCTGGCCGTCCGTTCGTTCGTGATAAGCTCCTCCTTGGGAGCAAATCCAGTTCATCTGTCTGTCCATCTGCTGCACGGATTTAGTTGCAGATTGACTTCAGACAGGCACAGTGAATAAATAAATAAATAAATAAATAAATAAATAAATAAATAAATAAAAAAGATCAAAATTGATTTCGTATTTTGTTCCAATTTCATAAAATTGCCATAAATACCCCATAATAGTGTAGCCTATATAATGACGTACATTAAGAAAGTCGCGAATATCAAAATACTAAATCGATTTTAATTTTTTTTTTTTACACTATGGAAGGCCTATGTAGCCTTCTTTTAAGAAGACTTCAAAGTCTTTTTTATTTTTTAGGTTTATTGAACAATCGAGGTGACGGCCAAGCGTGGCTTTCAACGGTGACAAGTGGCCTGTCATAAAAAGGCAGAAATGGGCAAGAGGAAAACTTGACTAATGCCGACATCCTTAGCATGAGATACATGTAGGCCCGCAAACGGCATAAACAAATAAGGCACCCCAGGAAAGTATCTTGTATCTAAAACGCAGCAATAGGCCTGCTAATCATTTTAATATTTATTTTTTACATACAGTATATACATAAGCGTGATTAGCGCTTGTATTTTGATCATTCTCAGATGAATTATAATTAATACATGTCATAGGGGGTTGCATTTGGTACATTTCCCGTTTGATTCAAATATTGACAAAAAAATAAAAAATTAAAATCCTACCAATATTTAGATCTCTTTTACACGTTAAACTTGTGATATATACATGTACTTCTATAAACGTAGCCATTTTAACTACGGTAGCTTTAGCCCAATAGTAGTAAAAATCTGCAAGTAAATTTCAAATTTAAATGTGGAAATAGTGTATACCCGATCGTTTCAGAAGTGCACGTCGAAGATTGGAGCGGGATAGGTACGACTAATCGTGTTTTACAACACTGAAAAGCGCACAATTTTATTTTCTTCAACAAATTTTTATTTCAAATAATTATTTCGATGTTCCATTTGAAAATAATGTTAAACAAAGTTTATATCTTATTTGGCAATTACCGGGTATCAGTAGAATAAACATCTGTGACGTAGACCTACCCATTGTGCCACCGCTCATTTTTTTTTCAGCGCATTTTGGCAGGACATATGCACGATTTACATGGGAATTAGCGACAGCGTGGTGTTCTTAGGGCAATACATCCATCATTTAATGAAGCTGACAACGACACCTATTGAGGTTAGCTCATCGAGACAACCACAACATGTGACTCACTTATGGCCTAAGAAGTAGTTGGTTTTTCCCGCACACGTTTAATTTACGCAGATTTTCGTGCTAGTTTCCTATCTAGTATCGCTAAATATGCAGTCTTGGTATAAATACTGCAGTGGCACTTAAAAAATCTCTTTTTAAAATTTATTACGGACAAAATAGGGCCTATTTATCTGAAAAAGAATTTAAAAGGCCTATAAATATTTTCAAATTAATCATCAATTACATAATATACTGCAAGTCAACACATTTTTTATCATTAATCTCTAGTGTTGCGTCTCAGGACTGGATTTGCTATAATTAAAGACCTATTTATAAAATAACATGCACTTACGATTAAGAACGTAACCAAGGTATAGGTCGATTAATAAATAGCCTGAAAAAAGGTCTCTCAGCATTTTAGGCCTTTGTTGTAGTAGTAATCCTTTTTTTTTAAAGGACTAAATAGTCTTATTAGACAGACTCGTAGACTACACTATAAATCGTCAAATTATGTGTATAGTCGATCCCGCCCCCTCGCTTCGCGACTGCTCTAAGACTCAACTTTGTGCACAAAAATGTGGCATAAAAAGGAATTAAGGGTTCTTTGTACGGCCTCTGAGTCCACGAAATAAACAGTCGAGGAATAACTTTCAAATCGCGATATTCTTACAAATCTGGTAAATCACCTAGCTACTGTCCTTGACCTACTGCCTATATGACCAATGCCAACTAACATCTCGGTGATATCTTTGATCATTAGAGACGATTTCCCAGAGTCGGTAGATATATAAACAGATCTACATTCTCACTAACAGTAGTCTTAATTAATACAACTAGAATCCCCGGAATCCCCGACGTCAAAGTCCAGACAATAAATTATTGGTTGCAGATCTGACAGTATTTATAATAGCTCAGATGTTCTGTTCACACGAGTCAGCAGAGTGGCAATAATTAAATACAGCAAATAGTGAAGTGTCTAGACTGGTACAGATGACCATCTGGACCATAGGCCAAGCTTCCATAATAAACAAGCAACCATCACCATGTCGACGAGCCTTTTATCGGCCGTTTTATTGTCATAACTGTAAAAATAGTAATTAATCAGAATAATGATAAACAGGTTGTCACCAAGAAATCAATTTCACGAAAAATATGATCCCACTACTAAATAAAAATTTAAAAAAATGCTGTCAGAAACAAAAGCCAGTGAATTACATCACCAACCCTAAAACATAAAGGACCTACACCTTGTATCGTAAAATAAATGACACATGTCAGCATGATTGAAATTGACACAATTCTAGCGCAGTCTTTGGTCGATAACATTTTCCAATACTCTTGCGTCAAAAATGTCGCATTGTGTTCTATGCGGACTTCCGAACAATATTGAGGCACGCATCTGCAGCAAGGTAAATTTTCATTTCAGCCATGGTGCATTGCAGGTAGATACGGTCCAATCAAAATGCATGTTTCAAACGGGAAACTGCGCGCTCTTAATTCGCGTTACTCCTCAGATATGGAGTTTCTTCCGAGATAATAATATGTGCAGACAGTAAAAAGTACAGTTGTTGCGTATTTTAACACTAACATTTGAGGAGGGAGCATCTGTTCCGTTTTCTTAATAGTCCTATAAATATTTAGGTGTAATTTGACAAGTTTGAACTCGGTGCCTGATCCTGACAACGGCGGAGGGATATATATAAAACCACAACATCTAGGTCACTAGTTACTTTTTCGTCTCAGAGAGCAGATAGGCTAGACCGTATACCGCCAAGAAAAATCCGAAAATGGTGAGTAGAAAATGAGACATCATACAATATGTGAGCGATATCAATGTTGTCAGATGGTCAACAAGTGGTTCTCTTTAATTATTTTTGTAAAACAATCAGTAAAATGATCTGAAATGAATAGTGCTTGGTATGTTTACACCCTGTTTACTTAGAGCACCGGTAACTATCGGTTGTTTCCACCCTTGTGCTTCTAAGTTAAATGAACTTCTCTCTGTTTGAATTGAAACGTGACAGTTTATTGCCTCAATATTACATACATTTGCAATTATTAAATCCTGTTACATAGGTGAATGGTGAAAATGCTTCTCTCATCTCTTAGGGGGAAACTCCCCCTTTGCTTGCAGTAAAGAGGGCGGTAAAATAACGGGGCGGTAAAAAATGTTACACATTGAATATCTTATACCCATTGTCAAACTCCATTGCTGACAAGATGGTAAACCGTTTGTAATGGGACACGGGATAGTTGCTTGTAATTTCCCACATAGATTTTTGAAAAATATATATTACTATTAAACAAAGGCCAAATAATATTTGTCACTGTCAATGTCACTGCCAGGTTTACTCAGCTGGAAGTAACCATCAAATCAAAAGTAGTGATAAGTGCATGTAGTATCAAATGAAATTCAACATGATCTGGTAAAATCAGATTCATATCACTAATAAAATTATTTCATGTTAATTAATGTAAGCAAATATATCATTTGTACCTCTGGCTTAGCCATGGTAAAAGTGAGGCGTTACCAGTTTTAATGCTAGTACTTGGCAACTGATACCATCTTGTTTATGAATGTAAGTGGTAGTTTTATGTGAAAGCATTACTATTAGTAATATGCACATTCTTTCACTCATCACTCATCCCTCAAACACTTGAATCTTTTCCATGAATGAGAATTTGATGTACTGATGCCTTTCTTACTCTTATTCTGACCATGAATCATAAATGTTTTAAGGCTCATATGTTAGGTACTGGCAACAACATACAGTCGCTACATGGTATAAAAAGTTTAATACATTAAATGTGTATAATTTCTGCACTTTCAGGCAGACCAACTCACAGAAGAACAGATTGCTGGTATGTACTATGCAGCATAATGAGGACTGATGATGATAGTCTGATAATGAGTCAGAGATGTGTTAGGAGATTATTTTGTGTAAAAGACAAGATAGTGTTTAATATGAATTGATTTACCATGATAACAAATTTAGGCTGTGCAAAAAGTGGTTTGAATGAATTTATCTGCAATTTGCATCTTTGAACCATAAGCATTTTGTCATGTCATGATCTTTAACCATGTGGATTTTTCACAAGTATCACTAGCTAAACCCGTAAATAAATATTTTTTCCATGTCACCAGAATTCAAAGAGGCATTCTCCCTGTTTGACAAAGATGGGGATGGGACCATCACAACCAAGGAGTTGGGCACTGTGATGAGGTCACTTGGACAGAACCCTACAGAGGCTGAACTTCAGGATATGATCAATGAAGTGGATGCTGATGGTAGGGACAGCCTGGTTGCATGCTAGTTTATGGGACATTGTCATGAAAGCCCAGCTCTTGAAATGTTAATTACTACCCTGTTAAGATATATTCAAATGAGATATAGATACTTTGGTACATAACTCATCCGCCCAACTGGCTGGATACAGGAAATGAAACAGGTCTTTGCATATCTTTGACTTATTATGATGAAAGTAGACCGGCTGTGGTTTATATTAAGTTTTTTTTATTTTTGTTTTTATTATTATTATTTTTTTTTAACAACAAATTTTATTACCCCTGGGCATCAGCCTCCAAACATAATCCTAATGAAATGGTTCCCAAGAGCTGTGGCAGGTGAAGTGAAAACCATTAAAACTACTGAAATAAATACATGAAAATCCCACTGGCTGAGAGGATTGTCTGAAAAATCAATATAGAGCCACTGGTTATTAGCCAATTTGGCTTCTTCGAATGCATGGACATTGGGTGTTAGGTTGCATAAAATTAACTATGGCCTGGGAAAATGTGAGCATGATAACCAGTTTGAAATACTCTTTATTAATAGTATAGGCTATAATTGATTTATATACAGATTATATTTATTGTTCTGCCCTATATCAAGTTTCTGAACTATTATATTTATCTTCTTTTTTTTAGGTAATGGGACAATTGATTTCCCAGAGTTCTTGACCATGATGGCCAGGAAAATGAAGGACACAGATAGTGAAGAAGAAATTCGTGAAGCATTCCGTGTTTTTGACAAAGATGGTAATGGTTTCATCAGTGCAGCTGAGCTGAGGCATGTGATGACCAACCTGGGTGAAAAATTAACAGATGAAGAGGTTGATGAAATGATCAGGGAAGCAGATATTGACGGTGACGGTCAAGTGAATTACGAAGGTATGAAGCTGTTGTGGTTTCCTGCTGCTTGTTGCTTTACTGTACAGTGTGTGGCTTGATGTAGTTTTAGGAGAGTGCATTTCTTCATAACGCTATTTGACACTTTTGTTACTAGTCCTGCATCCGTGTGCTGTTTTCACTGTGTGCACTTTCCTTCTTTTTTCTTCCAGAGTTTGTTAAGATGATGACATCTAAGTAGAAAGCAAAGCCTCTTCGATGTTTTATTACAGCAGTTTGCTGTTGTGCACAGTGATGCTCTCAGAAGATGGACTGTGTATTATACAGTTAAATATGTAAAATTGGTCTTTTTCTGAAAGTATGGCACAGTTATCTAGTCTAGATTATACCTTTTTCGTTGCAGAGTTTGTTTCAATGATGTTAAGTAAGATGTGATTTGCTGGAACCTTGAAAAAATGGTAGAGTTTATTTATAAATGCATCCTATCATGGTTTTCAAGGTTAAACGATTTGCATGAACTGTTGGATAAATTGGAAAAGAAGTTGTTAGTGTCCATTTCTGGATTGCATCATTTTTTTAGCCTCTAGCGTTTCTCTTCGTAATGTATTCTTATCACTTTTTGTATGAAGTGTAACCTTTCTTTGTACCTATTAAATATATTTTATTTATGTAGAAGAGTGCAGTGTTTGTTAATTTTGTTGTGTGAGGAGGCAAACTAAGCATATGCTTCACACTTACATTTCTTTACGGCATGTTTGGTGAACGCATGTAAGTATTTTTTATTTTGTTAATTTGAATATGGTTGGTTTGCTTTATAGTCCTGGACCCGTATTCTGAAGATCATGCATAAAACTTTTGTAAGCAGCTGCAGTCTAGAGAGACTTGAAGGAAAATTTATTCATAGACTAGGGAGTACCACCAAAAGTTGGTTTTCCTAAACGTTTCAAAAAATTGTATCTGTGTAATAATATGTAACAACAAAAGAAATTAAATGTGACACAGATTCTCTAAGACTATTTAATTGGAATACGGTCCCAGGCTGTAGAGTGAAAAATCAAACATTTCTTGTACAGTACAAGTAGTCTTTTGTGTAAATTGCAATCTTTCCAAGATTATGTTCTTGCACTGTAACTATCATAAATAGATTTAAGCACCAAGTGCTCCTTAAAAGCAACATTGCATAACGTCTTAGAAGTTTTGAGTTTCACAATTTTTACACTTAACTGAGTGAATATAAATTGCACTATTTCTGTAGCTCAGCACGGGGTAATGGAAGGTAGGGCTGGGGGGCCAGGGAGGGGAGCATGCCTTGGGACCTGGGGCTGTCTGCATGGGTTTGAAGTGGTTCCTTCCTACCATCATCCTAACCGGATGCTTTTTCCTCATTTCAGAGTTTGTCACCATGATGACGAGCAAGTAAACTAAACAAGCTGGTGGACAGGGCACTTTAACATTTTTTCTTATAAGATATCAAAAGAAATCTCACTCTTCAGTCATTTTTCTCTCATTTGATACCGAGTTTGTAATATAATAGCGGACATCTGAATAAGAGGTGATGGACGATGAACTGAAGATCACTATCTGTAAATTTTTTGTACTATATTGAGAGATGAACATATTTATTATCCTTAATCAGTTTCTGACAGGCGGCACTCGAACTGATTACTACCAACATTAGAGCCGGGAAAACTGCTTGCTTACTGGGGGTGTTGGGCACTGCTTATATCAAAGTGGTGGTCAATGAATAGTTGGTGACATGCTGTTATAACTTTTCTCCTCTCTCTTCTCATCTGGTGACCCGGGATATATAATACAGCACAGACCTGACCACCCGGACAATCATATCATCTGTATTCTCTTTGTCATTGTGAATGAACAGTATTCTGTAGCTTTATACATTCCTATGTGAATGTTCACTAGCTACTTTTATTAGTATTGAATAAAGAAATGGGAACTTTGATGTGCATTTGCAGTTTATTATTAACTGTTATGCCTACTAACCTTTGCATTTTGCTTAGAATACTAATCTGTTTTTAAATTTAGACTCGATCTGTGGAGTCTTTAGGATACCGTGTATGTAATCTTTAACACTTATTTGACTTGATTGTAGTGTTTGTCAATAAAACAAGTACTGAAGATCTGAACACGTGTAATTTATTTTTTTGCACCCCTGACCTGTTCGATTTTTGAGTGGCACAGTAAAATTAGATTAAATTAAAAAACCTGAGTGGCACACATTCGCGTTTGGTTTTTTTACTAATCGACACTTAGACTTGTTTAATGTCTTGTTTCAGAATTTGTGAAGATGATGACCATCCCGCTATTTGATTATGATCAGTAGGATACATTAAATCGTCACCTTTATCAGTCGTGTGATGTGCAGGGAAATTGGGGTCGTTTAATGGGAGGGGATTGACAAAAAATTCAAGGGGGCGATCTTTGGTCGAATGCACTTTGGAATATTTTNTTTTTTACTAATCGACACTTAGACTTGTTTAATGTCTTGTTTCAGAATTTGTGAAGATGATGACCATCCCGCTATTTGATTATGATCAGTAGGATACATTAAATCGTCACCTTTATCAGTCGTGTGATGTGCAGGGAAATTGGGGTCGTTTAATGGGAGGGGATTGACAAAAAATTGCAAGGGGGCGATATTTGGTCGAATGCACTTTGGAATATTTTTAGCGTTTTATTATGCTCGATGGCTTTCAACACTGCAACTGCTTATTTTTATGCTTTGTTTAATCTGTTTTACCATTGTTTTGATTTCTTGCTTGCAGAATTCGTGATAATGATGACCGGCAAACAATAACAAAGACATCTACGTGCTGGAGCATGTGCAGTACTTTGCTCTTCAACTATATAGACTGAAAACGCCACCTCAAATTCTTGCTGGTTGTTATTTTGTATACCGTGGTTTATCAATGCTGCACTGACACAGACTTGGCTTCTCTATCAAACGCTCATGAGCAGCGAGAATTTTACAATTGAAAAGAAAATGCAGCTAAAAAGGGTATTTCAAACTTTCATAATGACGTTTTTATCGAAGGATAAAGAGTAAGATTTCGGATTATGTGCAATTAGGTTACGTGGTAGTTCAATCACTGCCGACTACTAAACGCATGTGACGAAGTTGGAGTTCTTGCGGATTTCAAGCGATCATGTTTTTTTTCTCATCGTTTTCTGCCTGAAATTCATTTTTAATGGCAACTGTTTTAAAACCAGAATAAGGAAGTCAAAATCTGTAAAACGTGTGTCAATACGACTTGAGATGAAAACGCTATTTTGAACTTGTTTTTTATATCCATTCCAACATCTGATACAAAAGGAAATACTTTATGCCCGGAAGAAAGAAAATTTTGCTAAATACTTTTGAATTTGTGCAAAATCTGCACAGCATTTTTCTTTACAAAATGGTATTTGAAACGGTCATGTAAACATGATGTCCAACAAGTAGACCAGGCTGAAACGAAGAAATTTTGAAATCAATGTGTGCCACTCACTGAAAAAATTACAATTGAAATTACCAATTTTATCCTTAAAAGTTTTTGTAATTGCTATATTTGCATGTGGCTTATAAAACACGCTGTACTCCGAAAAAAACTGGAACCACAAGAGCAAGCTCTAGACTCTGGAAGCATGATTACTGAAGAAGCATATCCTATATTGCTTAAGTTTTGGCTACAGTATGACATCAGTTTTGATTTCTTATGATTTTCCATTTCATTGAAAATGATGTACATATCTCTTTAATTATTAGAACCGATAAATCTCTTTTATTAAAGATTTTGTTTTTGGTGTTTGTGACTGTCCTAGCAAAAAGGCGTGAGCACGAACCCCTATTTGCATGTGCACCGTGACATCCTAGTGGTTTTACGGCTTGCGAAATCTTTCCTCTCATTTTGCATGACATTTTAGTGAGAAGAAAAACGAGTATCCATCTGAAGTTGTGGGCGCGAAAACGCATGGCCTAGAATACCGTTAGAATATCTTTTCTGTTTCAGAATTTTGTATTATGATGGGTGGGTCTAAGGCAGCACTATAGAGGCTTTTACAATTCATAGCCTTTCTTCCTTAAAATCGCAAAGTTGTCACGGACGTGCCTTGTACTGGGATTGCGATGCATCAGCTGCGGGATTCGTGCCCACGCCTCCTCCCATTTCGTTCCGCCATTTGGTGACGAAGCAGACGAACCAATCTCATTGACATTCTCTTCCATGTGATTTGATACTACACGACCAGAACACATATGACGAACGCCATGTTTTTTTTAGATCACTCATTACTATTTCATCGTCCATTTCTTATATATATGAATAAATTTTGATATTACGTTATGAAAATGCTTTGCTTTATTCAGAAATTTCATTTTCCCAACCCGCCTGATTTAATAAAACGAACGCCTAGCGAAACACCTACGAAAGAAATAGTTTTTTAAAAGAAAAAAAAAAGTTGATAAAAAAATACTGCTGCACTTCTATACGCGTTTCACACAGTTGGAAAGCAACCGTGATATAAATCGGACATCAAAGACTATTTCTACCGAAATTCCTCTGTACCTTCTTTTACACGTTGCTGTAAGTATGTAAGTCCCTATGCATCCAAGCACAAGAAGTGAGATGCACTGTGTACATTATATATACCCCGAAAGACTCGTTCTTGATCATCGTGAAAACAAGAAAAAGAAAGACTTAACACTTTTACAAACAAACTGCGTTTCTTGAAAAGGTGGTTTTAGAAGACGGGGAAAAAATAAACTTAATGATTCTCTTTCGGCTTTGAAAAGGTTATCTCTTTTTCACACACACACACTCATGAATACAAACGCGCCGGTACAGCCTTTTTCACAGCGTATAAGTAATCTTGATCTGCCAAAGCAGTATTTTCCAAGGCAAGCACAGCACGAAGCATAAAACAAACTGTGCAGGTGAAATAAACAGTATATATAGGGGAGAAAACGTGTCAATATTTCACCAACATACAAATTTCGTTCCTGCCTTAAATTACGACAAAAATGGGCAAGAAGTACATCAGCAAAAATCACAGATACACACCTGTTAGAGCAGAAAAAGAGAGCATACTTTATTCTGAACACAAGATCGGAATAACCAGCTTAGGCTATCATCTGGACACCCAAACCTGACCAACAGATCGGAAGAGATGCGCAGAATTCCTGATGAGTGCAGGGAAATGGTGCAACCAATATGATGTTTTGGCAAAGAAAGAAAGAAAGAAAAAAAACATAAGTGGTACGACTAGGCACATACCCGGTACGTTTAGAAAACAAATCGGGTTGCGTGGGGTAGAATACGCTAAGACAGGAAAATGAATTCATCCGCCCTAAACAGGTTTTTGGATACTGGTGGGAGGGGGAAATTTTTCGGTACATATGAGGGTCTGGCATAGTAAGAGGGTCGTACAGATAAGGCGGGGCAGTTCATAACCAAACCTAAGATGTGAAATCGACGAGGAAGATGATATATCTTTATCTTAAAAACATTGGTGGTCGTATAAGCTTGTACTTGATTCAAAATGTCTAATAAATAAAACACCAACATTTATCCCTAAACACCACTGGACCCACATTCACACCCTATTCTACTCCCTCTCGACAACAACATCGAGACAACTCGAAAATAATATCGAGACAAATGAAACCATCAACGACGATGGGACGCAATATAGCTATTTTTGTCTTCTCTGAATTAAATTAAATGCAGTAAACCTAACCACATAGAGAAAAATCGTGGTTTCTGCTTTCCACAGTAATTTTCCGTATCGATTACTGTACTCTGGTCTCAGTCGAGGTTGTTGACACGAGCGTGAAAGATCACCTCAAGCGACTGTAATAATCGTCTTACCAACTGCTTACCAATGGATTGACTTATTAGATCATGCGAACTAGAAAACAAGACAATGACACCCTGTGTTTGAACTTTTCTAATAATCTGACTGAACGGATAGTAGTAGAGGGCCGAAAGGGTGCCTGAACATATGAAACATTGATCTTTAAGTAACCCGCAGGCATTTAGACTATCCAGCAGTCCCCCAGGAATGTGCGTGTATCTGAATGTTTGTGGATCTTCCCCTGTCTATGTATCTACGCCCTTTGCACAAGAAGGGAAAGGAACATAGAAACCTGTCAGTTTGAAACTGCTGTCACGAATAACGTAAATCAATATCAAGGTGCTTGGGTGTTATTAGGGCCTAAAAGTGAACAGAAACGAAACCATGGGGGGGGGGGGGGGTAATAATAAGAACACTACGTCTACTGCTTTGAATGAATATCACAGATGTTTTTTTCACACTAATAAAGCTTTATACGTTCCATAACGTTTCAGGCCTCTAGAGAAAAATCATTAAGTGGATCGTTTTGTCTCGTGTGGTTTAAACACATTGTCTAAATCTAAATATTTAAAAGCAGTAAGTAAATAACGTATTACGCGGAAGTTCTTTGATGAAACTGAAAGTGTTTTCCCTATTTTTGGTCTCTGTGCGAATACCTTAATTGCAAGGCTAAAGTGACACATAATTCTTGAGGGGGGGGGGGCAAAGTCATAATAAGAACACTGCTTTGAATGAATATCACAGATGCTTTTTTCACACTGTTTGAGCTTTAAACGTTTCGTAACGTTTCAACCTTCGAGAGAAAAGCATTAAATGGATCGTTTTGTCTCGTGTGGTTCAATCACGTCGTCTAAATCTAAGTGTTTAAAAGCAGTAAGTAAATAAAATCCACAATGTCACGCGTAAGTTCTTTGGCTGAAAGTGTTCTCCCTATTTCTGGTCTCTATGCGAGACACCTTGTAAGGTTAAACCCAGCTGAATTGCTAGCCTCAAATTTTATTTACCATGTCACTGTAGGAGCTGCGCGAGCTCAAAAGCCCGTTCAGTAATAAATTACGGGTGCCCCATATTACATCATATGAGCACAGCTGTAATTATTTATTTATACTATTTACACGCAACGCAGATTGAATCGCTATAAAAAGCTATATCGCTATAACTGTTTCAATACAAATGTACAATAACTAATTCATAACTTAAAGGAAATCACTCGGGCGCAGTAGCCGAATGCTAACACGGTTGCTAAGGACGCGTCAATGGGTCCCATTCAAAGGCCTTATCAACACAGCAAAGCATGTTATAGATTGACTCTACACAGAAGAGGCGTTAGGTTTGATTCAATCATGGCTCCCCCTGCCACCAGTACGGGGACTAAAGTACACATTCTCGCTCCTCAGAGGAGTAAAACTGACATTTCCGATCTGGGCGAACATAAAAAACAAGACAGAAGAGCCAGTACTACACCGGCAAAAAACAAGAAACGGGAAAGTATCCTCGCTCGCACTAAAGGAAGCCCAACACAGGTGAGCATGATCAGATATAAGCAAGTGACTAATGAATCGAGTGGATTTTGTACGACTTGGTTACCGTAAAAAGAGACTGTAGTTATATTCCATGTAATCAAGACCTAGACTACCCATTGTGAAAGTTGATTGGGGAGGTTGATATGCTCCGTGAACGAAGTCAAGAAGCCGTTTAAACTTTTTATGTGTGTTATTTCATTTTCGATCAACGGGGTTGATTCAGGCTGATGCTTGACGAGTTGTTTACTCATGTGTCCTGCGTCTTATAAAAAGGTAGAGAGGAATGGTTGTATTGGAACCCTTGGGTATAACTGTACACCTGGGGTAAATAAAATTCTAAGTTAAGGTATAAATCGCCCTCAAGTGACCCCTACCGTGTGATTAATAACATCAAGATTATTTCTTTACGTGTGGTATCAGATAAGAACCAATGAACAAACACAGGTGGCAACACATGTATATAAATGTATTTTATTTATAGCTAAGGCCAAGTTTGGCGGATAATTATGAAGTACCAAAGTCAGGCAGAGAAGGATGGTGGAGATCAACCATAAAGGTAAGTTTTAAAGTTTTCAGTCCTCGCGAGGTTTCAATGCACCGATAGAAAGCACAATAACAAAGCCTGTAACAAAGCAGCAAACAGCACTGAAAGCGGAAGTTTCAGAAAACATTCTTCAGCAGTCAATGCAGTATTCGTTGACAGTCTTTTGGAAAAAAAAAGTTTTAGGGATACTATAGATGAAGATTTATAAGATAAAAAACACCGATATAATTTTACCTTTTCAATACGTCACCATCCTAGCTTGTCATTTCTGGTATTAAAAAAAGATACGTACTGCGTAAAACTGTTTAAAGGAAAAATTTAAATGATTTCTTTTAATAAACAATCAAGGCTCATGGAATATTATTTATGCCCGTATTCAGGTGACACCAAATCCTGGTGTGTATGACAGCAAAGATTTTCTGCACGAGGTTCAGCAGCGACCTGCCACATACCGGTTCAAGGGAGATGGACGAAAGTTAGACGCTCATCCTCATGGCAAAGGGGCGATGTTGCTACCTGGGGCCTACCAACACGATGATTTTCTCTCAAGGTGTGACTTACAAATTCTTGGACATTATTGCCCGTTCAACGGTTGCCAGAAGATTGCTGGCTGTCTTCAAGAATCTTCCTCTCTCTCTCTCTCTCTCTCTCAGATGCGATAGATATTCTTCTCTTTAATTAGTGTTTTTTTTTTACTATTCATATCAATGGAAACTAAACCAATGGGTCAGTCAATATGTCAAAACTAATTGTAGCATCAATATCCCTGACATATTACATTTCAGTTCTCTACATAGATTGTCCTACTAAACCCATTTTCACCAAGACAAGTTCTCTACTTTTTAAACATAATTATCTCTTTCTTTGACAGGTTCAACAAATCGAACACCACATATGGCTTCAAAGCTGAAAAAAGAGATGCTCAAGACTTTTTAAATTGGGGTAAAAAAGACAAGGTAGGGTATCTTCTATCTTTCTTGTACTTTTATTTGAAGCTGCCTTCATGTTACAGCTACTTATTTAATGGTTTAATACTTGGGTATCTTGAGTAGACCATAACTTGACATAAAAAGGGGAAAAAGGCTAGGCCATACAAATAATAAATACCTCAGTCATTAGATCTCTGCATGTTTTTTCTTAAATAAAAATGTGCTTCATGTATGATGCCTTTTTTTCCAGTATATTAATGTCTGTCCCACTGCATATCAGTTGGAGAAATATCTCTCATTAACTGTGGACAAGCAACCTTCTAAGTAAGTAACATATTTAGGGATATTATAGTAATAGGATATTAGTCTATGTTTACGTTTTTGAATTTCAGTTATACTAAGTAACTGTTATATTATAATTTCCTAAAGAAAACTAGTGCATGTGTCTATATGAAATGTGCCTCTATATAACTATAGCATCCTTAGGTTATAGTTGATAAATGAAATTAATTATTACTTACTTATAAAATATATTTTCTATTTTCAGACATTATTTTTTCAAGTCACAGTCAAACAGATTTCCCACTTTTTATTTTGCACCGGTGAGTTATTAAGTGTGTGTGTGTGTGTGTGTGTGTGTATGTGTGTGCATGCGTGAAGTTTCATTTACCTAGTCAGAATCAGTTCCCTTAACTTTTAATGCTTTCTAAACATGTAGAAAAATATGTAACAAAGCAATGAAAGTTACTATATATATAAAAAATGATGGTAATGATTATAAGCAAACAGGAAATACAATAAAAAGTAAAGGTAAAATAAGATTTAAAAACCAATTGGTTTAAGCAAATTAATACTTTCATAGGTTTTGCCTCATGTGATTGGTGACTAGAGGACAAAGTTGTGGAACTATTGATTTAAAAAAAGTGTCATTTGTAAAAAGGAATAGGTTGTTGCAAATGATATGGGAAAGTTCTCAGTCAGAAGGTGGCAGTGGTGGTCTTATGCCATATACTTTTTGGAAAGGGAAAATGGGCATAGTAACAATGTTTGGAGATGTGTGTTTTATTTCTATGTATTTTTAAACTTTTCTTATGTTGTTTCTTTTTTATCATTGTATAGAAAGAGGGACCAGCCCCAGGAAACTATGAGTACTCACCCCCTGCGGCAGATCATGCAATTTCATCGAGTTTTAAGTCAAAAACACCACGGTTCAAGACATCTCATACTGTGAGTGGAAAATGTTTAAAGACTCTGAAAAAAACAATTAGGCAATTATTAGAAAGAGTCACACCGTCAATGTTAAATACCAAGGAAATTATATAAGGGAACATTTGGGAATTGAGGGACAGGTGAAAATATTTTTAATATTTCTATGCTTTAAAAAGCATAGAAACAGTTCAGCTGATTAAAAAACATCTTAGACATCTGAAAAGCCCTTGTAAGTAACATAATCTTGCAAATGGAATCAAGCATGCATCACCTCATAAGCACATAGCATTACACAATATTAAAAAAATAATCAACCTTTTTTTGCTCTATTTACAGAAAGTCCCAGGTCCAGGTGCATATGAAAAGACATTCCAAAGTCCAATGTCAAGTACTATTACCAAAATGGGTCGGCAGCATGGATTGTTTTTCTCCAGTGCTTTTGAGGTGTGACAGGACCATTGTGCTGACATTGCTCAGTTTTGTATCAAAACAACAAAATTTGTTTTGCAAATGAGGGCCAGGACCTTTTAAAAAGCTTCATGCCAAAAACCTGTATGTTTTCCTATTCGTTCCAAGGCAGGAAAAACACAGAAAAAATTGTTATGCCAAGTTCCTCTCCTTTTGTATTACTACAGTGCAGTGTAAAAACATGACTGTTCCTAACACAAAAGTGCTGATACTCATTGCAAGTTTAAGAAAAAAAGGAAGCGAGACTGAGAGGCTTTTAAGCTCAAGTTTATTGTGGAGATTGGACAGAAGACAAGACCACACTCACAGTTTCTCTCCTAAATCTACCAAGAACATGTTAGGGCAAGAACTGGGATAATAATGACAAATAAGCCTTTGGTATAAGACAGGGATTGAAACTGTTCGAAACAAATGCTGATGCCTGGAGTGTATAGTATGTGGTTTCTAACTCGGACATAATAATGAAATTTCATCCATGTTTCTCACAAACAAAATAATGGATATTACTTGCTCAATTTCAGCAAATATTTATTTATCAGCAGTGTAGCTGGTCTGCAAAGTGTGATTTTATTCCAGTCATAATATTTTCAAAGAGAAGCAGAGGGTTAAGTGTTTATTACGTTAGGGTACCCTTTTATAAAAATGCATGACAATTGCTTGTATGCAAAAAGTGCTTGCATTCAGAAGAAACACTCAATAGTTTATTGCTGAAATACAGTCAAGATTTGCTCAAAGAAATGTGAATGCTTTAGATTTAAGTTTTGATACAGTTAGGAATCTCTTTCCCAGTGACAATTGTCATATAGGTATACAAAATTGCTCATATTGTAAAATGAACCACTCACAGGCTTTTAATTCACGGAGTGCTAGTATACACACACATTTTAAAGAAAGTTGTTCAACAAGTCTGGCTTGAGTGATACACATTATATAGACTGTTCTGCATTTTGCAACATTATTACATCATTTATTTTTTCAAGAATAATAGACATACTATATCAAATGTATTCACTGCATAAAAACTTGGATACACTGTTCAGCACCTCGTTTGTATGCATATTTTGCTTTGGATCACTCTTTGCATGTGCATGCATTGGAAAAAATGGCATATAATTGTGATTTATTTATATTTTATTATGAAGTGCCTTTAATCAAGCTTATACTCGTGATTGACAGTTGTAACGTTAAACAAGCCAAATGGTTAACATACTGACTGCTCCACGTGAAAGTGCCTGCTGGTATAAGAACACATACTGGAAATATACCATTTACCTTTCTGCTGTCCGAGCCATGTTTTAGCATGGCCTAGGCATGTGATCAATCTCTCATCTCTTTGACTTGCAGGCGACCATCAATAAATTGCTCAATGTTACTTAGTCTGAAAAAATCCAAAATTTGTATGGATTTCAAAATGATCAGAATATTAATAAAACTGAATTTTATTGGTCATTGTTTTCTGTTTATTTACTACCTCTATCAGGTAGATAACATTTAATGCTTTTAAGTCTCATTCTGACAGAACCTTTCGTTTAATGGAAACATAAAACCCCCATGCCAGTTAGAGATTGAGGGAGGTCAATAAAAGACAATATAAATATAAATTTTAAAAAGCAAAAGTAAACATTTCCCTTAAAGTCTAATTAAGAGCTATTATACATAAAAGCCTCAGATATCACTGTGTTATAACAAATAGCACGCAGTTTCTTTAAACAAACAAACAAACAAAAATATTACAAGCAGTTAAAAAGACTTTCTTTGCAGCAGTGAATAATTGGTTACTTACAGAAAATGTTACGTGTCTGACAACAAGACCTAAAGGAATACTATCAGGCTTTATAAACAAATTAGCCGTTTGCGATCCTGAGCCTCGGTTTTTGATTGCAAATGATAAATTTATGACTCATACTGTGATATCATAGTGCAAACGTAAAATTAATGGTCCTGAGCACCACAATGCAAATCACAAACCATTAATTTGCTTACCCTACAGTTCAGTAAGTTCCAAATGTGGTGCAGATTTTCAAGAGCGCATTACTTTTATATTGAAAATAGTATGTGTTGAGATAAAGAACTGATATGTAAACAAACTTCATAAATGACTTAGCCGTTTGCGATCTTGAGCTTGTTTGTGATTGCAAATGACAGACATGAGCCCGGGTTTAGAAAAAAAAAAAACAACAAAAAACTCTGAACATTAATTGTGGAATAAAACTTCTTACATAATTTTTTTTTGGTTTAATTGCTCTGGGGTCATGTAAAAAAGCGGAATTTTGTGGTTCCCCAGAAAGAAGTTCATGTCTGAAATGATGAATTAATAACTAATACTGCAATATCAGATTTACAAGAGCGTATTACTCTTATACTGAAAATAGTTTGTGTAGAGATAAAGAACTGATATGTAAACAGCTAGAAACTCGCTTGAAAGCTGGCCAAATCATTAGATGTGATCACATGCTTGCTAACCTCAATTTTATGTTTGTGCCATGATATGGCAGTTTGAGTCCTTAATTAAGCGTTCGTGATTACAAATCCCGAACAAAACATCGCTAAAAACAAAACATAGCATTGTTATCATTTATGAGGCCCGACTATGACCAAAACATATTAATTACTGGGGAATTACATAGATACAAATGTATCCAAAAAATAATTTACCATCATAATCAGTGAATTTTTTAAAAATACGATGTCAGGACTACATGAAAAGCACTTGACACAAGTTTTGCATACTATCAGTGATAATTAATTTTCCACAAACTAAGAACTTCTGTCATTGGATCTTCAACTTCTTTATTAATCACATAAAATGACACATCCTACAACAACTGCCTTGTGCATATAATTAAATATACACCAAACTTCTGTACAAATAATGAAGCTTCCAATTTTGACACATAAACATCGTGGACCAAGTCAATGTCTTACACTGGCCATAGTCACCCATGTACAAGAAAGAAGTATTGGAAAGTGAATCAAGACATCTACAGGCGTATCAAAGTAAATCTTGTATTTGGCATCTTTATTTGATAAGCAGTGCTTCCAATAACCTGTCATTGTGTAGCTCAGACCAGCAATAAATTTCAGTTTGTGTTCAAAGATGGCCTTCTACATGTAAATGTGTCTTTCCCATTTACACTAAAGGAGGCAAAATAAAGAAATAAGTAAAGAATCAAATAACCATTAAAAAAAAGTGAAAAAAAAAAAAAAAAAAAAAAAAAAAAAAAAAAAAAAAAAAAAAAAAGAGACTCATTCCTTTTTGCCAAATTCACACAGCAAAAGCCTCTAACAGAGTTATCATCCCATCATAGCCTGGTACATAAACTCTTATGGCTCACTCCCAATGAAACTATATCAGTTTACATAGATTGATCCAGGCCCTTGCAACTGTCAACAGGACCCTTATGGAACCTTTATCAATGTACTTACAGTCATATCCAAACTTTGGTCAGATGGAAGGTCAGTGAAAATCAAGAGATATCTTTTCAAACTTGTATAGAATATCAAGGAAACATTCCACTCTGTAAAGGGGGAAAAACCATTCAACATATTAAATTGGAATGACTTGAATAAAAAACTCTTAGAAGATACAGTTTGAATAAAATCAGCTGAGGTCTACGAGAAAACTATCAGATTAAAGTCATCCTCGATACTCACTTGTGAATGTAGACCCAGATCTACTTAATATATGAGACTGTCAGATTTTGTTTTTAAATCAACCTAAAACCAGGCATTTCAGCCCATATTGTTGATTATTCAAGAATGAATAATAGTATGATTTTTAATACTCATACCAGGTGTCCAAAGTGGAAAAAAAGCAAAGGAAGAAGTTAACCCATCAATAATTTTGACCAACTTATGCTTCAAGAATATAAAAATCTTTAATGTAGCAGAAGTATTAAAATACTCGATGCTCATATGCTTATTAAAAAAAATACTGTCCCTGAACTGAAACATAAATGAGGTCTTTTGCTGCTTTTCAGTAAAACTGAAAAATTTAAAGCAAGGTCTTGGTATCTCAAAACATTTTATAGAGTCTAAATGTGTTAAAATAGATCTTTTCAAATGATACGTACTTCCAAAATGTCTAAAGGGGAGGGGGTTAATTAAAGTAGGCATGCCGCCGCCCCCCCCCCCCAAAAAAAAAATAAATAAATAAAATAAATAAATAAATAATAAAAAGTAAAAAATGTAAAAACATCAAGCTGATCATTACATAAATTAACACATATTTGAAAAAAATTGTTCTTTTTCATTACAAAAAGATTCAAACAGATTCAAATCCCCGCCTAAATATGTAAGAAGAAATGTAACAAACAACTGCACTGACTACAATGCCTGTAAGCATACTGCCAGATAATGCAATGGCAATATAAGACAATGCACATTATTGTAAACCAGATTCAAGAGTAATTCAAACATTGAAAAAACTAGCAACATTATTATTCTATGCAGAAATACTGTAACCAGTGTATCTATATCTGGAGCAGAGTCAACATTTGGCAATGACCAGTAGATCTGTGCATAGCACCAATAATTAATTTACAACGTTATCCATAGCCAGCTATGAAGGTGACATAACAATTGAACACATTTTGCCTCAACACACCCCAATTTCACACAAAACATTAATTTCCCTTTTCCAGGTTAATTCTAGTAAACAGCAACATACTTCCATTAGGTGTCTTAATCATGTCTCTGGAAATGAGTAAAACCTGCCTTAGAGGTGTCAAATCTCTTCTGTCAATAATTACTTGAATGATTGTTTGTACAACACTGGAAGATATTGTCAGTGGAATGTTCGTGGAATCACAGAAAATGGAACCACAGGACTAGCCGATTCCAGATTGACAGCCGTCATTAAGCATTCACTGGCGGTCTCGAACTGCCCAACAGCCTCTAGCACTTTACCCAGTTCTTGCCTGGAAGGACAGATAGTCAAAAGGGAATAGTACAGCCTATGCACAAGTAATCTAATTCATGAAAATGAAATTGTATTTAGAGGTAAGACTTGAAAATGATCACATTTTCTTTGCAAAGATGTTGTTTTTACTGATCTCCACTAGCTGCACTCATTTTATGATATCGGAAAATGAAGAAAAATGAGATTATTCGGTGACAGTGGCATAATTTGATAAATTGGGACTTAATCTGTAATTAAAATTGGACTTACTTATATCAGGAATAGCTGCTGATATTAATGAGTGACTAAACTGTTTGAATGCAATTTTAAGTTCTTTGATGAGATATGATTCCTATATCATCAGGTAATTTAAGTCAGTCAGACCACATCTGGTTGAAGTTAAACATGGTTTGAGCCTGCCTTATGATGTAAACAGACCTTAGTTTCACAACAAAAACTCAGTCAGTTCCCTGGCTTAGTTGACTAGGATTTCCATGAGAGTGCTGTTACACTGTTCCTGATAGGGTAATATGTGTCCATGTGACCATGTAACCTTGGTAATCAAGTTCTTAGCCGGGGAATCTGAATTTATTTATTTATTTTTTTGTGAAACCAGGGCCAGGGTCTTACCAGGCTTGGTGTGAAGTAGGATCTATACTGACAGCATCTTTCAGCATTTTCTCTGCCATTGTGTAATGGCGTTGACCAGCCAGGAGCTTTCCCTAAAATCAATCAATCAATCCATCAATAACTTTTCCCTAAATTCAATCAATCAATCAATAATACACAACTTAATCAAATGACGAATTTCAAGTGTTTCACATCTGTTGCAACCAAAATGGCTCCATTTATCAAATCAAACATGAGCATGAACAAAACTGATGAAACTGGATACTGGTACTGATGACTAATGCATGCATTTCATATATACTTATATTACAGCCATGGTTCATAAAACCACATCTTTTACTTGCCACTATCAAATATTGATCATATTTTAATGAAAATGTAATTCAGTTTTAACAGAAAATGGTTTACTCAATAATACCTGCATTTGTTCTTCCACCAAAAACCAACCACAATCGTAAATGATTAATGCTACCAATTTCACAGAAGGAAAATTCAAATAAATAACTAATATAATTCCAACTGGCTGCAATTGTTCTCACCTTTGGGACCAATTTTACCATTATAAAACCACCTGGATGAGAACAACAACAGCACTTACCAGTCCTATGAGGCTCTTGATATGGGTAGGACTGATTGATATTGCACTTTCAAAACACATTTTGGCCTCTTTATACTGCTTTTTGTGGACATAGACTTTTCCTTTCTGAAACAAATATAGACAAATATAGTTGGACAGATATTCTTTGTGTGTAGGTTCATATTTACATAGAGGTTCACATAATAATGAACTTTTTTCAACCACCGTGTGGACAGCACACAAACTGCTGTCATATATTCCAACATGTGTGCGTATAAAGTAAATACAGCAGATTAGTTGCTGTATAAAACTGACAAATAAAGGGAAATTTAAATAATTGTGCTAGTTTTCCGAAAAAAAAAGAAAAACAAGGCAGCAGAGCTGTCAAATGTACTATGGTGATTACCATGCAACATTTCACCATGAGTACCAAGGGTACACTAAAATTACATGTCTTACCATATATGCCACTTGATGTGACATAGGAAGTATACTGGCTGCTTCTGTCACACATGCATTTGCCTCTGCTACCCTGTCCATCCCAAGGTATAGCTCGCCTAAATCAAATATACGATAATACTTTCATCTGTGTTATACAATTTCAAAATTAAACCAGCATATAATCAAAACTAAACCAACATAAAAGCACTAGTAATTGTCATCAGTGATTCATATCTTGTGTGTTTCATCCTTTTTCATTTTAATTTGAACTATATATATATATATATATATATATATATATATATATATATATATATATATATATATATATATATATAAAGAGATACTGTACAAGGTGGGTAGGTGGGTAAAACATGCATTCTGGTGTTGCTGGACCCCAAAAATTTATATCTAATAAATGTTTCAACGGCCAAATGAAATAAACTTGAACCTGATTTTACAAGATGCCCTCTAAGAAAACACATGCCTCTAGAATATGCTCTGTTATGATCTCATTAAGAGTTAGTTCAATTTGTTGAAAATATTACTTTAAAGAGAAAAGTGACACTGCCATGTCTGTTTACTGTTGTATGTTCCAGTGTTGTGTTCCAAGACAAGCTAATGTTTTACCGCTACTCTGATCATGAGTTGGATTGTATCGAACTTGACCCATTCTATTAATTTCAAAAACAAACTTGTTTGCCTTGCTTCATTAAAAGAAAATCTTCCAGAATAAAAGATGCCATAAGCTGTCTCATCTTGTAAAAGTTTTCATCTCTTATTCTTGAAGAATTTCTGAACAGTGTGAGCTTGAACTACTTTCAATTGTAGGCAAAAGTAAAAATTTAGAAATTTTTTGTAAAGCACACTTGACTGACTACAGTCTAGCAGATTTTGTTAAGTCAACTACTGGAGATAAGATAATTAAATATTAAATTTTTTTGTGAGTGTGAAACTGGGAACCCTTTTGGGCTTAGATAGACACTACTATTGATATAAGTTAGTATGGTTTCAGTTGGGTTTACCTAAATGGACCCAAATTTGGGCTTGCAGCGTCCAGGACTGGTGTAACCCAATCTTGGGCATGAGGCTGCTGTTCATAGAGGACGCCACCTCTGACAGGGCCTGCTCCACTCTGGATGCTGCCATGGATTCGTGTACTGAACCTGCAAGACGAAACAAGACCCAATGCACTTTCACTCCTTGTCCACAATATCTGAAGATCACCAAGATTATGAAACAAGTTGATCAGTAAAATGCCTTGCCTATGATAACTGAATATATTCAAGGTTTTGAAATAAAACAGGAAATCAGTACATGTATTTAATATAGAAAATTTCAAGTTTCTATATTTCAAAAACTGAAATTTGAATGACAGAAAATAAATTGAATTTTTTACTCAGAAAATCAAGCAATTTCACGGAGAAGCCAATTATCTAAACGTGACAACTGATAAAGAAAATGACATTATAAGACATTAAGAAAAGAAAGATATCAATTAACTGGATGAGGATTCACAAGGGATCTGTGTTAATAACCCAGATGAACTAATCTCATAGTAGTCATTTTGTGACAAGAGAATATTTTGTATTTTAGTGATTAATTACAGGCCCTAGGCAGGTGGAATTAAGGGGGGGGTTAATAAGAGCCACCCATTTTGCCAGGAAAGGGCTACTCTGAATCAAAACTTGATTTAGGTTTTATGATCACACATATGTTTCATGGTAAAAAAAGATCCACATTTTCAGGAAAAGACCCCCCTCTCTCTCCCTCCCACCTCCACGGAACTGATACTGTGCCGAATTAAAAGAAGTATCCAATGAGAGAATCAGGAGACGCACAATACTTATATTCAACTCCAATATAAATCAAGAAAATGTAAATGCTTTTTGCCATCCACAATCAGATGCTGTGCTATCTTTGTATCCCCACCTACCCCTAGTCACGCTGACTGCTTATCTCCAAGATAAGGAAGAAGTTACTTCGAAGAAGAAAAAAAAATTAAGTGGTCTACTTCCAGCTTTAAGGACTAAAATATCCTTTGTTAAAAATTAGTATTATCAAGCTGAATCCAGCTAGCCTGCAGCAGATGTTCACAGGAAGGAATCTATCTGATCGGATTCACATTGCCCAATATTCACTTCCTTTTCCTCTGTATGTTGTTAGTAGGCCCTACATTCTAAAATTCAAGGTAGTCAATGACGCACTGGAAGTCAACCAAAAGACTGGACTTTTGTTTGGCTTCTCTAGAAGCTTTGGGAGAAGTTCATCATTTAATTTAATTGTTTATGGTTCAGATAAATGGAAATAGGAGAACCAGAAATAAATATAAAAGATTGGCACCAAAACACCTAAAAATAAAATTTCCATTCAATAAGGAAATGAATCCTCTCTAACTCATTATGAGAATAATATCATTAAGATAGAAAAAAAAATTGCCAAAAATAGAGAAAGTAATAACTAAAAGCTAATTTGAAACCGATTAAAATACAAGAAGACTAACTCCAGAGAAAATGATAAATGATAAAACACATCCATGTTACCTCTACCTGAATCTCTATCACTGAGTTCAGAGAGCTGTATTTGAGCCAGAGACCGCCGGTCAGTGGTCAGTCTGTCCAGCAGACCAGTACCACGCTGTTCACTGCAAAGACACAATATGAAAACAACCATAAGTTATGTGGGATGGCTTAGCTATTAACTGCCTTAAGGTCAGCAAGGGATGATTTCACAATAGAAATAAAAGAAGACCCAAGATTACTTTTTACTTTTAAGACTAAAATTTTCGTCAACTGCCAGCAAAGATAAACCAGTAGTAGTCCACTTCAAATTAAACTTTCCACTTGTTCTGTAAAAAGATATGCATGCTAATATTCTAAATCAAAAGTCGTTCTTTGTTATAGTAATACATATTCACTCTGAACTTAAGTGGATTAAAATTTGAAGTCTATCAGATAGAACCCACTATGGGTCCAAAGTACTTTAGTGAAATCAGCCTGAAACCTTATTAAACACTTGTCCTTTTATCAAAAAAGGCTTTAACATAAAGATTGTAGTCCAAGGGGGATGCCTAGTAAGATAAAAGGGTGAATTTCCTTGCAGGAATCAGAGAAGAGAGCACTGGGGCTGAAGAAAAATTCAATTTTACAGCATGAAGATTAATATTTCCCAATCACTTACTTGACAATCAAAAATTGGTCGATTCAAACAGTTGCTGTTCTCAGATCTGATTCATATTGTGAGAGCATTTTTACATAGAGTTTAAACAAAAAGTATGCATGACTAAATCCCATGACACAAAAAAATCCAACTTTATTAATGTTTCTATTAGCAGTGGAGTTTTTTTTTACATGTACAATTGCTTAAAAACTTACCTCTCTGTGGTGGATTCAAACATGTCCCTCCATAATAGCATTAACCGTTTACAAGTAGACAATGCTTTCTCAACGCTACCACATACTTCTTCAAGTTTGGATTTGGTGAACAGCAAACTGGAAAAAAAAATCTCCAAAGTTTCCTCACAATATCTATCAGCTTCAGACTTAATTGAAATGCTATCTTTGAAAAACTGCCAAAGTTATGGAAATAGATTTTCAGCTCTTCTGATTATAGTCTATGGTTCTGAAAAAATAAAACTCTCATGACACCTGGCTTTTGGGGCTCAATTTCCTACACTTGATAGCAATGTCTTTATTGCAAATCATATATCCTTAATCAACATTTCAATGCGACGTACATCGATTTACCAGAGAAGAGGTAGTCAGGTAATGGTAAATGTCATGTTAGATTGTTAGACTTGGTGTATAATTTGCAACTGACAATGAAGGTATTCGAATTCTGGATCTGAGATTGGCACAGATCATTTAATAGTTATAGCATGTTTTGCAAGCTCAAGCAATAAAAATTTTCAACTGTACATTTTTTTCCTTGATATACAAGAACTTACAAGATGTTTTTACTTTAAAAAGGCAGTTTGGATATTGAATTGAACTGAAAGTTTCTCTCACTCTTTTTGTGTTTATGTGCAAGTATGTGTGTACATGTACATTTGCATATGTGTGTGTATCGAAGCACACCACATGCAACACACATTGGTATATATAAGAGCTTGAAAGGGGGGAGGGTCCTAACACTTTAAGACCGTATTCAGATTGAATCCATCACACCAGCTGGATCGATTCAACTCTGCAGGTGACTCTTGGTAAATTGCAATCAGTATAATCAGCTTCATTGTCTGACATGCCTCCTTGAGTAGCTTGGGGGTAATTAACTTTCATGTGTGCTAGGCTTAGTTACCCCCTAGCAGTATGAGGCAGCATGTCAGACATTTAAGCCAATGACAGTGATTGCACTTAAGAAGAATCTCCTGCAGAGATGGTTCGATCTAGCTAGTGCGATGGGTTTATCTGAACACTTCCTTAAGGTGCATTCACCATAAATCTATAGCACTAGCTAATTTGCACTCATTCCAAGGGGACTCTCATTGAATTTAATCAAATTAACTGATAAACAAGCATCCTCCTGCAGTTGAGTGGAGTAAAAATAAATGGTGATAATACGAATACATTGGAATCAAGAGGAGGCGTGTTGATCTCCTTATCCCCATGGAGTTCGTATGACAGTTTCACTGTGAACACACCCCTAGACCAGTGGCTACCTGAAATCCTCTGGATACTCCTGCAATGCAGCATTGATCATATCCAGTGCCTCCTCATCCCTCTTCTGGGCAGACAACAGCAGAGCCAGGAGGTGTAGGGAATGCAGGTGGTCAGTCTGTAACTGCAATGCCTGCTGGACATGTTTCAGAGCTTCTGGAATCTGTGGGGAAAATGAAACTGCAAATGTTATTAGGGTCCAAGACGAGGAGGGCTGTGTGCACTGTAATTACTGTTACAAGAAAATAGTCTTAATAGTTGTGGACTGGAGGAATTGGGTGTGTTGCTTTCCCCAGTGACTGGTAATGACATTAAGTTAGGGGGAAAAATAAATTAAAGAAATTGTGTTTATAGCACAAGGTCATCGCACTCCAATATATGTTTAAAGTAACTGCACATTCCTCCACCTCTCTCAAAAAAGAGAAAAAAAAATCAAATTATCTTCACACTTCCTGGTCACAATTTGAAGCCCCTCAAATAAGTAGTACCAAAGAAACAATCAAATATCAATAACCATCTAAACACAATGACTAAAGCATTATCATTGCTGAAATTAGCCTGGTTATCTCGACTACCAAATCTGCAAATTCCAAGAATTCTCATCATTACAAGGTCAAGAGGGCCAGAGTCATTAAACCAAACCACCATCAAAATGTCAGAAATGTCAACATTAAGAACAATAAGAATTCCCCCGCATTCAATGGACAATACTCCTCCCTTCACCCAGACCACTGAGCTATCTATTTCATGCGTCATATCATAAAATGACACTCACATTTGAGTGGTTAGTTTGCTCTGCAGATAATATTATACCCTTTGTTTCCCAACACTGACCGCAAGTTCACACTATCATAGAGTGTTTAAGTATGTGAAGTGGGGTTATGTGTGGTGATTTTCCCTAGGAAATCCTGAATCTATGAATAGTATTTCAGTTCTCAAAAGAGCTAAATGCAGGTTGCTTTTCCTTCCATGATGTACAAAATATTGTAAAAAAATGCAAACAAAAATCCACTTTTTTTTCTCTGGTAAACATTGCTCATGGTAACATATGAGGGCAAATGAAACATATGAGGGCTTTATCACATCAAAGGATAATTGCAGTCATATTTTTTTCCTGGAGAGTACTAAACTGAACCTGTGCAATAAAATAACAAGAACGACAGTACACTCTATTTTTAAAAAGAGCAGTTCATAAATGTAAAACATCAGAAAGAATGAAATAACAAATTAATCAATGAATCAAAAAACAAGTCATTCCATTTTCCTGAATAGTTGGAAAGTATATTAACCTAACCAATCTCAGAGAAATTTGCAATTATAGCAAATTTGACCTCTTCCCAAAAACTTTGTTTGATTGAAAGTAATACAATTGTAATATGTAAATATATCTTCACCTAATAATACCTTTAAGAATATAGCTTTTGAAATCTCAGAAAAAAATTACTCTTAATTATTAATTATTCACTTGCCCATTCCCAATTAAAAGAAACACCATCCACTGTCCTGACAACCCTAAATAATAAATTATTTTCAAGACCACTTTATCTCACATTGGTTCATAAGCAAATCTAGGAATTTCATCCCCTATTTAGTTCCAATATAAATGCAAATTTTAAATCATTGCTTCTAACATAGTTAATTACTTAAGAGTCAAGTGATGGACCTAAGGGGCATCAATCAATGTAAAAACTATCAGAATGAAAAAAAAAAGCTTTGAGGAATGAAAATTCCATCAACACTAAGTTATAGTTAAACCTTTTAAAAAAACAAAACTAGATTTCACATTATTTACAATACAAGAAAGTAACTAATATTCTTTTCTAATATTAAAAAAAAATAAATTGAAGAAGCCATGAACACATAAGAGACATCTTACCTGTCTCAATATGGCTTCTTGTAGAGCCATGTGGAATAGTGCCAGGTGGTCGTTTTTGTCAATCAGATGAGCCCTGGGGAAATAAAAATGGGATATTCACATTATATAATGCTTTAAGAACACTGTAACAGTTACAGTTTTCCATTTATTACATTGCTAGAGATGAAGCTAAGGGAAACTAGAGGCTGGCAGGCAGATTACAATATTCATTATGAAAAGCTAAAATGTTTAATACAGACACATGTACAGCAAAACACTTAGTCTAATTAAAAACACTAAAAAATTAAACATTTCTTTTTTTTTTTACAAAATAAGTCCTCAAATGGACTACTACTGATATTCCTAGGGTCAAAACTTACTAAAATTTGGCCTTAGAAATTATGACATTTTTTATCTTCTTCTTCTAATTTTTTTTTTTAATTTTTGTGACACTGACCCAAGAGACATATTGGGATTTCTCTTTAAGGTCAAACGCTCAGTTCTTGTGCAATAAACTGCCACTAAGAATAAGCTGTCTAATCAACTGCCTGCACTGGGGTGTGAGAATTCACAATAGTGGGTGTCAACATATGGATAACTTGAGACAGAAAAGGTAGTGAGGGGAAAAGAGGTCATCAGGCATCCTTTAAAAAAAATTAACCACTAGGAGTTTTTATAACAAGGATAGGAACCACTAGGACTTCTTATAACAAGGGACTGTTGCATAGTAAACAGAAAGTTAAAATGCAGGAGCATGTTTCTTCAGAAAATTTGACCCTAGCAACAATTGCAGGGCATTGGTGCAGGCAGCTCATTTTCTCATTTCAAATAGCCTTAAAGTGTATGCATTTCGATTTAACAAGGTTGCTGGCAATAAATCAATCTTTAGGTCCAAAGGCAATTTTTGTACTTTTAGTTCAGACAAAGCTTTCCTTAACTGAATCTGCAATAAAAATATCATTAACAATAAAGAAAAACCTAACTAATTGGATATCAATAATAATCAAGAAGTCACCGGGCAAGGATGCAAGAAACACAGAATTCAGCAACTACATACAGGGTTGGAAAATTGATTGTCCATTGACCCTCTGGGATGAAAAGACAAATGAATTAAAACAATTGTGGATAAATATATATATAACCTCAATGGTTCCATTAGTCCACAGGTAGCGTACAAAAGAACTCAAGTTCACGAAGACATACAAAGTTTCATTCTATTTATAAATGTAAAAGGTGCTGGCATACCGCATGTCAGTCAGATTCAATCATATGCCATTAATGAGAAATTATTGATATTCAAGCTACAAGAGTGCCACAGAACAACCTCCTTTCATTGGAAGAATATTTCCAGGTACACAGGTGAGCATTCTTGAATTGCTACATCAAACATATAAACCTGTTGTTTTATTGACTTCACTGAAATGCTTCAAGGTATTACAGGACTTGGACTGCTGCGACTGTGGTTTTTATTGCAATTTACAATGATTTAATTGTATAAAGAATATTAAACCAACCCAGTTTCAAGTTGTCATAATAGCACTACATGTGCTTGCAGAACGTTTCTACAGCAAATTCAGTAATCTTTTTTTGCCATGAACAGTTGTTTCCAGCAGTCATGACATATGGATTTAACCACAAAGGAGTTAACATGTAATTTTGTAGGACTTGTGTGACATTCCCTCAATATCATTTTCACCATTGTCATTAACACACACACACACACACACACACACACACACACACACAAAAAAAAAAATGTAGAACAGGAAGTTAATAGAAATAATGACGAGATAATGGGAGACTGTGCCGGTTCCTTTGTGACACGCTCACCTTAGTCATCGAGTGTTTGCAATAAATGGATATTGCAGGTTATCTCACGGATCAGCCATTTATTGAAAAAGTCGGATATGGTGTGGGGTCCAAGGCTGTCTAGGCCCATGACTTTTTTTGGGTTCCCCAAAAAGTCAGAAATCAGCCAATAGTCGGACTAATTTCATCCCTGCTATATACAGCAAGTCATGTGACCAGTCACTCAGCTCACCCTACCACCTCAGGCATAACTCAGAGACCTATCCAAACATTCATGAATTCTAATATTATTGTAATATAATGAACAGTTAATGTGACACATACACGTGTATATTCCTTTTGGGCCAGTGTCAAGTTTATGTATCAAAAAGGTAATTTTGATTAATTCATTAATACTTCAATACATATCTTAAATACATGCACTTTAAAGGGGTGTGAGATTAAGTGCTTTATTCAGTTCCAAGAGAGAAACTATGCACTGATGCAGTGCAGAGGTCAACTCAGGTGGGGATTTCATAGTTTTGAACTTCAAAGAAATATCAGGGAGAGGAAATCATGCTTTATACATATATATATATACACACATCAAGGATATCAGAAGATGAAATATGTCTTGATGCAAGGCATTAAACATGTTTTTAAATGAAAAATGCAAAATCAGAAGAGGGAACAGCCAGCAGACGGCCATTTCCAAAGAACACTGTATCTTCATTAACAATCCCAGGGATATTGTTAAGCCAATGAACCTGGACAAATAGCAGAAATATTTCAAGTTGAGTGTTTAAGTTCAAGGAAAACAAGCTGACAGTCAAGATACAAATCTACAAGTACCACCAGCTGAAATTTCCCAGAGGATCGTACATAATCTGATAGTAGTTTATTCTTACAATCTGTGGTTAAACCTTTATTCACCCATAAAATCAGTAGTTTCTAATATCTCATAATTATTCTATATTAGCCTAAGTTCAAACTAACAAGCATAAAGTCCAAACCTGCAGTGGTAATCCTTTGACTGTGAAAAGTCAGAAGTAAAAGAAGAAGAAGCAAAGGATCAGATAAAATAGAAAACAACTACCATTTATAAACCTTCTTGGCTGCACTGCAGATAACAAAAGAAAATAATAATAATAATAAATAAATAAATCTTGTGAAAGAATTTTTTCCATAAGTTGGAGAGATGATCACATGGCAACAAACTTCTGACATAGAGGCCGTGAAATTAAACCCGTCCACAAGTTGTGTCTCTTCCTTGTTAAGGTGCGTGATAGAGGAGCTGAGCAGTTCATTCAAGGGCAGAAATCTCTACTTCCAAAATCCAACTCGCCGAGGACAAAAAGTGAGGTTTAAAATCATATATATTCTATGAATAGCAAAGAACAAGAATTGATATGGAAAAGTCTATTTATAGTCTAAACTGGATGGAAATCATTAGGTGTGAACAAGTCTAAATCAGATACCAAATTTCACCTGCATGCATAGAGCATTGGCGTCTTCTAATATATCAAATGTAAGAAGATGAGTTTTTCCATTTGTGAAACAGGTAAAAATAGCCTTGCAATTCCTTTAGAATCTTATCCTTCATTGGGTGAAATAAAAGGTAGCACTTCTTTAAAAAAATGCTCATGTCCTATTTTCTTTTGATAACTCAAAATATTTTAGAAAAAAAACAAAAAAAACAGAACGACACAAAGCTAATGCTCTTCTGGCAAATAAGGTATATGTGAACAGAACAGTTCTCAGACACAGAACAATTTTGCAAAGATTGTGTGAAATAGGATCTAATAGCATGAATCACCCGCCCTCTATCTTCCATGCAAACTGACGTAAAACTCCCCCAATAAATCCCACTTTTTATTAAAGTCACAATACCCACACACAAGGTGAGCCGGGTCAAATTGCCTTCAAAGTAGTTTGCTTCAAGACATTCATTATTAACAAAATACAAGGTAAAAAGAGTGCGTACGATCCTCCTATACTTTACCCATATACTGTGTGTGACTTAGACAGAAGAGCCAGTTGATCGCTGCTACACAAACTGGTGCAAATTGCACTGTATGTGATTGGTTCGTCACATGTACCAGTCAGGACTACGGAATCACATATATTTCCAGGTAACAGCTAATACCGCGTGATTCAGTAGGATTGGTGATTCTCTGTGATGCCAAACAGGATAGTTTACAAAACAAGATTAAGGCGCTAGGGAGGAATTTTTTAAACTGGATGGTGAATAATTCAATACAGCAATTAGAAAGGAATATGGTAAGTTGAATATATCAATGTGCTTTAGAGAGAGAGAGAGAGAGAGAGAGAGAGAGAGAGAGAGAGAGAGAGAGAGAGAGAGAGAGAGTGTGTGTATGTGTGTGTGTGTGTGTGTGTATTTATGCATGCATTAAAAAAACTAAGAAAAAGTTTTGTAAATAGTGTATAATAGATTTAATGGGTACTCTTAATGATGAGACAGGGGAATGATTTTCAATGGTCTTCAACATCAAATCTGTACAATCTTCAGATTGTTTCAAACTAAAAACACATACAGATATCCACTGTGCATATCTGTTAAAAAAGCAATTATACAATCCATTATAAATTAAACCAAATTAATTCAAAGCAGACAAGTGACCATTGAAAGAATGTTGTGAAATAACCTGTTAAAATGTACATAATTATGATGTAATTAAAATATTTGAAACAATGTGCACTTGTACTTTGTCAACAAAATTAACCAAATAAAACAAGACTACAGACCTCTGCCAACAATAAAGGGCAAATAATTCTTTTAAAAATATTAGAAGCCTTATATTTAGTGATACTACTCAACAACTCTCTATCTTGAAATTTTCATCAAAATTTGTGTAGAACTTTCAGAGCTATCTTATCCACTCACAGTGAGACAAACAAATGGCATAAAAATATAACCTCCATTATCGACAAAGGTAATAAACTTTAACAGCTTTACCTAAGAGCAAGATTTAGGAGTAATGTAATCAAGGTTATTTCATGTACGAGGACAGGGCTAAATTGAAATTGAAAAGATCTAGCCAAACATGAGTAACTTCAATTGATTTGGAGAAAATAATTACTATTTTCAGACAATACTACGTGGGCCAGCAAAAATCGGGTCTCAGACTTTTAAAAAAAGAAAAAGAAAGAAATAAGGTAAATAACAAGAATCAATGGAACAAATTCACTGTACAATAGATTGTAGGTTATAGATCAATATTTCCAGTTGCGTGTCAAATGTTATGTTATTGTTCATTCTTAAATTATCAATGTCAGAGAGAAACATTTGTAAGATATTCAGACGCAAGCAAAACTATCTTGCAATCAATATACCATGTAGCCCAAATATATATACCTTGTCTAACATATCATGGTTAAAACTGACTACTCTGCTACATGCAATTTTATGATCAGAGTCCCATCAGTTATCAATGCCTACCCTGGGAAATCCTTAAGTGACTGAAAGAAGACACCGGGCATAGACCTATCAGTTTGTGGTGTTACGTATAACATTGACAATCCCAGGGAATCTGTTATGTCAGTGAGAGTTCAATCCAGAAGAGAATGTGGCAGGACACTTTATCAGAGTGATACATTAAGAGAACAGCATGGGATTTCCACTACTTTACAGCTTTCAAAGTATGTAGGAAATGAGTGCCTCCGATGATATGTAAGTAGATAAGCCATGAAATTATTGATCTGTGAAAAAGTAAATTATGACTAATTAGCACATCCCCAGCAAGAAATAAAACAATTATGTGACAAAAGGAGATCTCCCAGCAATAACACCTATATTTTAAATGATTACAATCACTTATCTAAGGGCCAATATCTATTCTACATGGACCAATGAAATATTCATTAATGATTTGATTTCTGAATCATTCGCCAGTAAATAGTGCGCGACAGTTCATCAAGTGTGGATTGGATACAGACACAGTTGAAAATTTAATTGAAAATTCCACATTCTGTGGCTTTTCAGCTGATAAATTACCTTTATCATATACTTCATGTTACACTCAGAAATGAATAAAACATTGCACAGTAGAAGTCTGTGTGAGTATTGGATTAAACAACTTATCATGGTTGTAGCACTGAAAATGTCCCTTGAACAAACCGAGAGCAAAATCCCTTGAAAGTTTAGTCAAACAAAAAAAAAAAAAAAAAAAGGTAAGCACTTATGGTAATGGAGTATATAAATATGTATGAGATCAACATCACACAACACAGGATCAAACCACCTTCTGTGCTACCTGAACACAAGCCTCTATAGTTAACTTGTGTATCAGGCAGTTCAAGTATCGCAGGGCACCTTGTATACAGTACCATGACATTGTCATCTGCTGGTTTTAATAATAAAAAAAAATTACAACACCTGCCATTATAAGCATATAAATGGCATAAATACAACAAAAATATCAATAACAGTTATTAATAATAATAATGTCAGTCAATATGGCGCATAGCTGTAAATTGATTTTTTTGTTAATCTTAATTATGTGGAATGAAATTATTATCAAATTCACCATGATTTAACGAGCAAATTTCCATTGATCGTTTGCACATTAACACTCTCCAGCCAACTTTACAGACTTTGCATTTGCCTATAGATAACAAGCACTTAAAAGATATCCAAGAATTAAAAAAAAAAAATGGTCCTTCCTCTTTATTATGGCATCTAATTTTACTGGTCACTGACAGCATGTGAACTAAAAACAGCATATTTCAAGTTTGACTTTTTAAGGATATGCAGAACTGTACTTAATAAGACCATTTTTGTTCTGCCTCCCATGACTGGCTGCATGCAAATTGACTTAATTACAGCAAAGCACTTTGCGACTGGAATCGTGTCTATGGATGCCTGACATGCTTCACTCTCTTGATGAACAATTTTTATTTCAATCATGCCATGTCATGGAACAAACTCTTTATTTCTGCCTACAATAATTGGAAATTGTTAGAGGGTTATGAAAGAAAAAAAAAACTGTGAACTGATGAACATATCTGATAGACTAGACATGCACATTTTGTTGTTCAAACTGCAAATTTCAGAAAGGAAAAAGGGCATTCAACACAGAAAAACACAATCTCTCTCATTAATTTTGCAAGAATTTCAACATATTTAGATAGCAGGCTGGGACCAAACTGTCCCCATAAGATTAATGGAAATCATCAGAGATAGCCCAAAGTCTCTCCTCTCTGTGTAAAATTGAGTGAGATTTTGCAGGATATAGAGGAGAAACAATATCAGATTAGTAACAGAATTTATTCATAGATATTTTTCTGGCAGTTTTCTCTTAAGAACTCTGGAATTACAGTCTACAGCATAACAAACATGTTCTGCATATATCACTTTTGTATTGCTTTCTAAGAGGACATCCCAGGTGCATAGAATTTCGCCCTTCCTGTCGGGAACTAGCCCCATACAATGTCAAGCAGTGCTAACCAGGGGCGGATTTAGGCCGTCTTCTGGGTCTTCCAGAAGACAGTCAGATTTTCAAGTTTACATTAAAAGGTATCTTATTTTTCTGTTGGAAGACGGTCAAAATTGGAGGATGGATCAATAAAGATAATTTGGAAGACTGTCAGAAAATAGCTCTGGATACGCCCCTGCTAACAGCCTTGTTTTAGGACGATTTCCATTTGCATCATGTTTTATTGTTCATTCAATTTTTTGTCAGAAAAAGTTCTTGCAAATTACCACATAATGCCATACTCTCATCCACATATTCTACTCTTACGGTCATCATAAAATAAACACTACACCACTGAATTTCAAGACACAAATCAGTTGAAGCAAAGACCTCATCCTAGCAATTATCTGGGAATTATGTTGGTTGAAAAATAAAAAGTATGGGTGAATCAAAATACATTTTTAACCAGTTGGAGATCTGATCATTTGAAAAAGTCCAATAAAATGTGCATGCTTTAGGATTTTTAAAAAGTGATCACACAGTTCCTCATGTTACATATATTTCAAATCAGGAAGGAAATGCTATACTTTTGTTTTATATTGTGAGTTTTATAGCAGACATGATTCATCTTTCACTTTAAGGATACTGTAAGCTTTTGCCAAAAACTCCTTAATATTTACTGCCTTACATATATTCTTTTGGATTACAGATAAATCTTCAGTGTTCAGTGATTAAATAAATTAACATTTGCAAACATGTTATTCTATGGGTAACATCATAATTGTGATTTTGGAGTAAAATTGGAAAAATCAGTTTCTCAAATTTCTCCTTTACCTGAGCAACCATGAACATTGTTTCAATGCCAATTTAACGACACCTTTTAATACTCCAAAACCCTGTCAGCAATTTTAGTTCAGATTTTATCATTGACAAAGCAAAATGAAGCCTTTGTTTTATGAAAAAATGTGAGTAGGGGCTCATAACTGCATAAGAAAAAACATTTAAATCAAAATGACTGTATGGGATTCAATCCCAAAGAATAGTGGTCAACATTTTTATGATAAAACCTTGTTCAGGAATGAAGTTACACCCCATACTGCTATCTCACCTCAAAATAGAAAGGTGTAGAATTTACAACGAAAACTTTATGTGGCCTATGCTTATACATAGCAATGAGAAATATAAATGCCGATATCTTATATATTTCAAGGGTTTTTTTTATTGTTTTAAATCAGCTCAAGGTAGGTGCATTAATGAATAATTAGATGCAGGAAAAACTCGTTCCAGTATTTGGATGATAATATACCCTTACAGTACCCTGGATGGATGGGAATCAAAATACATTCCTAGAACAGTAATTGTTCATGGAATTAATATTTAAGGCATATGGAATGTGAAAAAAAATGTGAGTGTTGAAGTTTTGGTTTATAACTACTATATTGCATGAATTTTTAATGTCAAAGCAAACTTCATTACTTCAAAAATAAATAAATAAATAAATAAACTTAGAGAGGCAAAACAATTTTTGCTAACAAATGAAAAAGAATCTGGTGGAGATAATCTGTTAAGAACATTTTTTTCATGAACAGACAATCTCACTAAGGACCTACATGGTTAAGTATTGAAAACATGATGAAATATGTTTTAATAGGGCACCAAGCTCTATTAAATAGCCCTCTGTGCCTCAGGGCTGTAATAGAAATAAATTTGTAGTAGTACCAATTATGAGACTAGGAGTTGGATGTAATTATGCCAGATTTTCACATACATAGCAGATCAATTGATGTTATTAAAAAATATGGACAACTACTATGTACAGATATCAAAAATTCATCACCAATGTTTTCATTTCTACATGAAAAATTTGAGCTACGATATTGATGAGACCTTGAATCCTTAGCCAAGGAATTTATCATTCTGATGCTGTAAGATAACAACCATCCCCTGTAGAAAATTCTCAAATAAAAAGAATTCTCTGGTGAGAAGCTGTCATCATGTCTTAAGGGGAAAGCTATGACATGCTTTTAAACTGGGTAAACCCCACTTCTAAATGAGGTTCGGAAAAATTGAAAAAAAAAAGATATTGGTACATATAGAATTCTATAATTCATCACCTTACACTTGTTGTGGGCATTTACAATTATGGTTTCTAAAGGCTATTGCAGGGAATGAAATTTGGCCGAGAAGAAGTCAATCACCACAACTACCAATTACAGACAAACAACCAGACATAAAGGAGCTCATACACATATAACAGAAGAACTATACACAATATGTCTATGATCAAATGGCACCATTAAGCGGTTTACCACCAAGAAAAATTTCTTGCAATTCCCTACTTTTAAATATAAAGATCACGAGCCATTATTGTCAACAAGCAAGGATGGTGACTAACCACAAACAAGAGGTTGCAGATGAAAAAAAAAAAGGGGGTTGGTGATGTCTGTCATCTAATGCAACTAGTGGGTTTAAACAATATGCCACCACAATATGCAAGCTTACAGAGCCTGAAAATTTCATTATCACTTTTTTTCACACACAAATGCAGGTCGCTTCCTCAAGTATCCAAGAGCCCTGGCAGAAAAATTACCTTGCAGTCACATATTTTGTGACAAAAAACTTATCTTAAAAGGAGACAATACAGGGCTATTTCACAAAATTATTCAAGTTTTCGAACAAATCTAGAACAGTTAAACTTAGATAGATGGTTTTGTATAGTCGACTTTGTGATATTAATCTAAA